GCACTGTTATGGCTTGTATCTAGATGTCTTCCCAAAGCCTTATGCGGTCATAGGTGGGCCTTTTCAGAGATGGATGGATCTAGAGTGTGTGATGCTGGGATTAATGGTATGTGATTACTAAATTACTCCATTAATTTGTGGCAGAGTTCTGAGTGTGAATAATGGGAAAGCCCACACTAGGTGTGAGTGCTACCCACTCTTAAGCACATCTAACGTGGATAGAATATAAAGCAAACAAAGAGAGCTGCTGTTGTCACTTGCTGCTTACTGCTTTTGTTGTCTTCTGCCTGCCATGAACTGTTTCTCCTTTGTGATACCCCTCTGCCATGCCACCCTGTCTTGGAGCCAGCCAATTACAGACTGAAACTTCTACAAACTGTGAGCCAAAATAAACTTTTCCTCCTTTAACTTTGGGTGTTAAATATTCTGTCTTAGCAATGAGAAATCTTGGACAGATTTTGGTACCAGAAGTAGGGTCCTTGCTGTGACTACCTGACTACGTGGTTCAGGAGCCTTTGGAGCTAGCTTGCAGAAAGAGTTTGGAAAGGTTTAGATATTTTGGCTTAAGAAGCAGCCTTGAAATGCCTTAAGCTATTCTTGATGGAAGATTCTGATCAGAGCTCAGAAGACCTGAATGCTGATAGAAATGCTGCTGGTAAAGGCCAGGCTCAGGAAGCTTTTGGTGGAAAGAAGAACTGAGTTGGCTGTTGGTCTCCAGATAATGTATGCTATGTAAAGTTTGTCTGTGTTTTACACCTGTCCAGAGATTTTTGCCTGAGACTGAGATTAAGGGCAACTGAGTAATTAATCTTCCAAAAGAAATTTCAAGGCATTCTAATGTTGAGGCGGTGACATGGCTACTGTTATGGACTTGTAGTCAGATCTATGTTGAGAGTCAAGAGCAAAGAACCCAGCAAAATGATTTAAAATGTTGTGAATTTGTCCAGAAAGGAAGCGCCAGTAAAGTGGTGGACTGCAAAGATAGAGCAGAGAAGAATTTGGTTGCTGAGAAGGAACAAGATAATGGAAAAGATGGCCTGAGGACATCACAAGAAACAACAGGTCTCCAGCCTTCACAGCCTCAAAGTTGCAAAGGTGAAAGAATCTGCTTTGAGAAGAGAGCCCCAGACCACCATGTTACAGAAGGCTGCAGCGTAGAGAATTTGGTCCTCCAGATTGGGTTCATAGTGCTCAGCAATCTAAGCACTTGACCCCTACATTCAAGAGAGAAGGAAGCCTGGCTACTGCTCCAGTTGGAGGGAGACCTTGGTGTTATTCACATGGTACTGGTTTTAGGTGCATGCAGAATTCAAGAATTGTGGGATCAGGAAGGCTTCCACCCATGTTGCAGGGATGCTAGGCAGTGTGCTCCTGAGAATTCAGTTTGTGAAGCTGTGTGAAGCTGAAGGTGCAGTGGAGACCCCAGAAAGTTGGAGAACTCAGGAACATGGAGCATCTGAGGAAAGCTGCAAGGAGTGAGCAAAACTGGCCCAATAGAGAAGCTCTGGGAGCTACAAGCATCAGTGCCATAAGGCCCTTTGAAGTTCACATCTTGTCACATATTGCCTTGAATGCTAGACATGGAACTATGAGACTTAATGCTTGTCCTGATGGTTTTTGGACTTGCTTTGGTCTCATTCCTTTCTGTCCCCCTATTTGCAATGTGAATGTTTATCTTGTGCCATTTTAGGTTGGAAGTGTTTAACTTTCTTTTCATTTTTACAGGGGCTTGCAGCTAAGAGTTTGCCTTAAATCTCAGGAGACTTGGACTTGGACTTTTCACCAGGGCTAAAAATATTAGGAGTTTGGCAACTCTTAGAGATGGACTAAACATCTTTTGCATAAAGGGATGTCCATGAGTCTTTTGGGGGCCAGATGTGGAATGTTATGGCTTGTTTCTAGATGTTACCCCAAAGCCTCATCCAGTCAGTTATCAGTGGGGCTTCTCAGAGGTGGCTGGATCTAAAGTGTGTGCTGCTGGGATTAAGTGTGTGATTCTGGGATTAAGGGTTTGTGATAAATTGTCCGTCGATTGGTTTGGCATAGTTCTAAGTGTGAATAATGGGAAGCCCCACACTGGCTGTGAGTGCTACCTGACCTTAGAGCATGTAGCCTGGATAGAATGAAAGGGGCAGAAAGAGGGCTGCTGTTGTTACCTGCTGCTGCTTGCTATTTCGCTGCTTTGGTGCCTTCTTCCTGCCCTGCTTTGCCATGAACTCTTTCTCCTCTATGATGCCCCTGTGCCATGCTACCCTACCTTGAAGCCAGCTAATTACAGACTGAAACCTCTATAGACTGTGAGCTACAATAAACTTTTCCTCCTTTAACTTTGGATGTCCTGTATTTTGTCTCTGCAATAAGAAAAGTACCTAAGATAAGCACAAAAGGAAAGCAAGATGGTACAGGCACTAAATATATGGCAGGTCTGTCATGCATGTTCCCTGATTTGAAATTTCAGGAATCTTTCAGTGAGAGCCCTGGAGTCTTTGTTATTCTTATTTGTCTCTAGAGTTAGGACAAAGTTATGTTGGGGGGGGGGTGTTGTTCCTGGGCTGTGAACAGGTTCATGTGAGTGGAGAGGGGAGTGGTCCCATAGCCCCAGTTGTACTATCTATACAACTTATGCTACTATAACTTGCACATGCTTGATAGTAGTTGCTCAGATAGGCTTTCAAATTATTTCAGTTTGTTGAATTGATTGCTATCAATAGTTATTAAAATTTTTCTGCTGGGAATTGACTTCAGAGTTTCACACATACAAAGCTCAGGCTCGGCAATTAAGGTACACCTCTGCTTTCAATAGAAATTGTATAAAATTTTTCTTTATTGTCTGTTCAATAAATACTGTACTGAAATATACTTTGAAGTTCAATATTTGATACTTTTAAACATTTTATATTTAATTTTAAGTCATTGTTTATATATATTTTTTATTTTATTTTTATTCTTAAGTTCTTTTATTGGTACATTTTAGGTATACAATACATTTACATTTATCTTTGGGTGCTTGTACCTGTACATGATGTATCTTGGTTCTTATTTTTTCCCCCATTACCTGTGCGCCCTTCATTACCTCCACCCTTCCCTATTTACATAGACTTCATTTCCATTTTTTTTTCTTTTCTCATAATTTTTCCCTTCCCTTCTTTCCTTTCCCCTTCCCCTCCCACCACCCCTACCCCTTTGGGCCTTTCTTCCTATTTCAAATTATCAGTTATTTATTTTAATCATTTTAACCCTTATTTACACTTTCAGTTTCTCACACTAGAGAAACTATTTGGTATTTACGCATGTGTGTCCTATTTATTTCACTTAGGAGTGTGGCCTCGATATGCATCCATTTAGCTATAAATGACTCCAGTTTCTCATTCTTTATGGCTGAGTAGTACTCCATGTTATTAAAAAACCACATCTTCTTTATCCAGTTTCCAGTTGATGGGCACTTGGGCTGTTTCCAAGCTTTAGCTATTACAAACTGTGCCACTATGAAATATGGGTGCACATATATCGCTGTGGTATGATTCTTTTAATTCTTTTGGGAAGATCCCCAGCAGGGGAATAGCAGGGTCAAATGGGACCTCTAGTCCTAGTTTGTTGAGGTATCTCCATACTGATTTCCACAGTGGTTGCAAACACCCATTGTTTATATTTAAAGGAATATATGAAAACTATCAGTAGGCTTACTGTATTCAACATGTGATGTCATTTTGACCATCATTTTTATGACATTCTCTTAATATACCTAATAGATTTTATTGAGCAACTCATTAAGCTTTCTAGATTGTTAGTGGAATTAAGTGATTCAGATATATGCGATTGCTCAAAAACCCTAGCCCCTGGTATTATAGAAAGATGAATCAAGCAAATTTTAGTGTTGTTTTTGTAATTTCCAATGCTTAACTGCCATTGTATAAACATTGTCTCCATCTAAGATGACAAACTATCACTATACTAGTAAAATAGAGCAGTTGAGTACTAGGAGTATGACAAAAAAAAAATTCTTCTGTTAACTGTATTTGAAATATTCTAATCATTATCTCTATGTAGTTAACTTTATAAACACACTAAGTGCTATAGAATATAGCATATGAAGTCAAAATTGTATTTGTAATGTTTCTTACTTCTAGAAAACAGTTTTTTCTATTTGTCTTTCCTATAATAAAATAATTCTAACAATCAGTAATATTCAATAGAAAATACAGGAGAAAACGTACAGATTTATATATTCCTTTTAGAAAATTACAGAACAAATTTGGGTTTGATATTTGACTATAAAATGAAATAACAAACTGAGTCTGCCCCAAAGAATTTAAGTTTTTACAAAGTCATTTTAGTAGTAAAATTTGTTGTATCCATGTATATAATGAATATATTAATTTTAATTGAATGAAATTATGGCTTGCCCTTTATTAATGATTTATGCCCGTGAGTTCAAAATACTTCATACTTTGGCCCTATGATTCTTAATATAAGTATTGTATGTATAAAAGACTGATGAACAAATCATGTATACATGTAATTTGCATAATTAGATGATCTTATCCTTAGAATCTTATATTTTCTATATTTGCTGATACAGAACATGATTCTTTTTATTCTAAACTGTCTAGATCATCTCAATAAGTCATTTACCTGTCACCAATGAGAATTTTTCGTGGTTTGGAGATTTAATCAGATAAATTTGATTTTTAAAGTTTATTAATATATAATTTAATATATATATATATGACAAATTGATTTCATTAAATAATTAGAAAAAGACTAAATATTTTGCAAATAAATCAGGTTGGTTATCTTTAAATAATCACTCTCATATTTACCATGATGGAGATCACTGATAACAGTAAGCATTATGTCATTTTAATTGATAATTTTGAAATGGAACAAGAAGTTTTTCATAACAGCTGACAATTTACCTGTGAAACTAAGAGAAACATTAAAATGTGAAGATCCACAATTTAAGCTATATAAATTATTTATTTAATTCTTTTCTGTTTTAGAAAATGGAAGTGCGGTCCAAGTTGGAGAATTGTTGCCTTGCAAGATTTGTGGAAGAACATTCTTTCCAGTAGCATTAGTAAGTACAGTGATTCCAAGCCTTTTCCTTTGAGTTGAATAGTAATTGTTTAGTGCTTCAGAACAGCTGTCATGGGAAGAATTCATGAGGAATAATTTTTGAAGCTGTTCTGGGTAGTGTTTTTCTTCAAGAGTCTTGGTACCATCTGGTCATTTTTCCAGAGTCGTCTCTTTTTTCAGTTTCACTGGTCTTCTGAATTCCTCTATTAAAGTGTTAAATTCTTCCTAGCTTTGTGGGAACATTACAAAAACACAAAAACAGAACAAAATACCTTTAAATATACATAATAATATATTTACAACTTCTGAATAATATAATGTCTGAGATTTACTTTAAAGAACTTAAGGGGACAAAAGTGCAGGGATGAAAACAAAACTGCTAAACTGCTGGTAACAGTTGAAGCAGGGTAATGAATAAGTAGGAGTTCATTTTACTATTGGCTCTTATGTGTGTTTCAAATATTTCAAAGAAAAAGTTTTTTCCAATATAAAAGTGCACCTAAAATGTATTAATTCTTTAGATACTTTTAGCTATTTAATATATATAAATAGAAGCATTTTTAATTGATAATATCAGCCAGCAAAATAGGAATAATTATGCCTATTTACCTTAAACATTTTAACTTCATATATAAAAATAGTATTATTACTTCTTTGATAAATAGTATTTTTAAAAAATAGATTTGCTGATTAGAGTTTTGGCACAATCCACTATGCACCATCTTCATTATTTCCACTTCGTTTCTTTAAGTGAGAGCTATCCAGAGTGTTCTAACTGCGTTAGAAACATCTCCTCCCCTCCCTGCAGTGTATTTTTTTTCTTTTGAATTCAAAGGATTTTCAAACTATTTATCTAAATTTTCATGATAATAAGGCCTTTTTCTTTTTTTTCTCTAATATTTAATTAAATAGTATTATTATAAGTGCAATTTTTGTAATCAAATTTGGAAATAAATACCATATACATTTGACTTACATAATTAAATTTATGAGGACAGATATTAATGGTTTACAAGAAAGTCACCTATTTGCTCATTTTTTATTATGAACTTAGATTTTATTAAAGCTATGGTTATGGTTCTTGTTTTAGAACTGAAACTGAAAACAAGTATATGACAGTTGACACACTGAAAGCCTAAGGGTCTCCTTAACATCAAATAAGCCAAATGAATGCGCCGTTTCCATTTCTTCACTGATAAAGGTTAATTTTCTGAGTTCTTCACTATTTGTCAGAATACCAAAGAAAACTGCATTTAGTCCACTGTCATCAGTCAGCATGCTTTATATGTTAGAAGGAGAATTTTTTTGTTGATTCAGTTAAAGTTAGTTAATACTTCCACTATATTGTCCTTAAGAATGAATAAATAAATGAGTTGGTAACTATTAAAAAACAAAACAAAACAAAACCCTATGGGAGTGGAGCATTAGATACCTCAAAAAAATCCTAGGTGAAAAAAAATAGAGTTTTGAGTTAGAGAAGGGAAGGGATAATTTTGAAGAAAGTACATAAATCTGATACTTTGCCCTTTTACTTTATGTTAACATTATGGTAACCTACTATTATGTTACCTTTAGTAATCCAGACAACTCCTGTTATGTTAACTTTTGTAATCCTCAAACTAGTGCATTCTTCATTGACTTTTTCTATAATCTATTTAGTGAAGACTTCTTTTTTCAGTCAAGTAGCCTTGGTTACATTATTTTCCTTACTCTTCGTACTGTAAAAGCTAGAGGGGTATTAAATAACTGTCAGCATTTTTAAATGATACCCCTTAATAATTTCTTGTTGTGAGAAAGGTAACATATGTTTTAAAACTGAAAACAAGGTGCACCTTATTATTTATCTTCATATTTTTAAATTGGGCTTAAATTTTTAAACTTGTCTCAGTTTAAATAGTTAAATAGGCTTTTCTTCTGTAAAAGAGAAAATAATATGTTGTATTTCTTTCCTTTAATAGAAAAAACATGGACCTATTTGTCAGAAAACTGCCACTAAAAAACGGAAGACTTTTGATTCAAGCAGACAAAGAGCAGAAGGAACTGATATTCCAACTGTAAAACCTCTTAAACCTAGGGTAATATAACCTTTTCAGTAGTGTGAACTTTGCATATATATATATATATCTCAAAATTATCTGTTATGTTAAGACTAAAGCAATACAATTCTTTGTTATGTGTTCAGTTTAAAAATTATCAGAAACAAAAATTTTATTTTAATTACAATTTTAAACTGCAAAGGAAAGAAAACCAAAGTACCATTTCAAGCTTCATCAATTGCAATGAGGTTTTTGTGCTATTAAAGAACTGATTGCTCAACTACAGACTGGAAATAATCAACACAAATGTCTTTTTAAGTCACTGTTAACTGCTTCAGATATATTAAGATTTGATGTGGGCCAGGGATTTAGCTCAGTGGTTCTGCCGCCTGCCTCAGAAGTGCAAGGACTCGAGTTCAATTCCCGGTACAAAAAAAAAAAAAAAGATTTGACCTAATACTACCCTAGCAGTGTATATTCTCTAAATATGGAAAATAAAGCTATTATTTATAGACATCTTAGCAATTACATATATAGATTGTCTAGATTAATTAATTGTCATTATTTATAATCTATATTATGCTTGCTGGGGGTAAGTTTTATCAGTTGTTCAATTGTCCACATATCTGTTGTCACATTTTCTTTTTTGGAACCAAAGCCTGTGGTAATCTCTCCTAAATGTCTCCTATAGAATATTGCTAAGAGTAAATCACTTCAGTAATTTGTCAGATAATTTTGTGAGATCATTTCAGTGAAGTTGTCAAAGCTGAGTACCTGAATGAATAGTTTTCAAAACAACCCTACTTTCTGTGCTAATCACCTCTTCCAGTAAGTAGCACAAGCTGAATATTTTCCTTCTCTAACAGAGGGGTTGGGGATTCAGCCCAGTGGCACTGCGCCTGCCTCTAACAGAAACTAATTTTACTAATGAAATTATTTGATAATGGGAAAAATTAGATATTCATCTTTATTTTACAGTCTGAATATTTATGGGGAGGATGATAAAGTTTAAATAAGGTACCTAAACTAATGTTTGAAGTTTTTCTTAGTATCCTGCCAGATATGTGAATGTATTAACTTTGATAGATACACTAGCCAAATCTTTGGAGGCATTATAATCCTGTGGGTATGAAAATAGCCTAAAGAGTGAACTGCCTGGATTTAATCCTGGCTATGCAGTGTACGATGTTATTTTGGACAAGTTAGTTAATGTATACATATTCATCTGTACAATGGTGATAGAGATAGTATCTATCTCGTGGAGTTATGGTGGGGATTATGTAACATCCATGACAATCTTAAATGTTACCATTTCATTTTTAAGGGGGAGGAAGTTATACTTCATAATCTTCAAAACAAAGGAAAGTAAAAAAACCCACTGCTTTCCATAAGTAGTTTATTGCTTTGCTCTTTAAAGTGGTGTCCATAAGCAGTAATATCAGCACCACACACAAACTTTTGAAAATACAGACTTAAGTCCCTAAAAAATATGCTGAGTTAGAATCTGATGTTAACAAAATCTTTGGATGAGTCATATACACGTTAAAGTTTGAGCAGCAATGTTTTGGAAGATTTGAACATTTTAATGTAATTGTCAACATATTTACCTGTATCAAGCAAATCATACAGAATCAAGCAAACCCCTACAAAGTAGGGAGTAGAACAACTACCTCATTTTCCATTTTTGGCAAAACTAAAGGCAGCCGTAATCTACAGTCTACCAAATATATGTAAGGGCTGCCCAAAGCAATTGAGATCCAGGTTAAGCTACCGATAAGAGAAAATGCAGGAAGTTTCTGAGGGTTCCTGTGGCCCATATTCTGGGAGTCTACCACATGAAAGCTGAGGGGTCTCTTAAGGGTGATTCCTTAAAGGGGGAAAATTTTGTCAGAATGAATATATGCATTTGTTAACTACAGCCAAGGCAAGAACTGAGAGTGTACAAACTTGGAGAGCTGGAACCTGGAATAAGCAGTGCTGAAGTTGGACAGAAGCTAGGAGGAAAAAGGTGGGGAGAGGAGAAACAAAATAGAGCAAGCCTAGTGCCGAAAGCTCTCAGAAACCTTTCTGAGAATGAGAGGCTTAATGTAAAGAGCCATGTCCTTTTTGTTTTGTTTTGTTTTCTAATGGTCCCAGAAACTGAGGGAAGCGAAGCTGGCAGCAGTAGACCTCTTGGACCTGTATTGCTTTAGAGAAGTGGGAGAGACAGTTGCATATAATTGGACAGAGAAGCTTTATTTGCAGAAAGTAGGCTGTATTTTTATGTAACCTGGGAGACTGCCCTGGACCTCTCTTCCTTAAAATGTCTATTAAGTATCTGTACCAGGAAAACCTAACTCATTCAGTGATGAGTAATAGGAAACTTGTTAGCTCACATTGATACAAAGATACAATGAGGAAAACAATAGAAGAGCAGCAGCACTTACCAGTAGGTGAGAAATATGCTTCCTGGAACAGAGGGATATTGTTTCATTTAAGAGTTTTATGTCTATATCTTTGAGAGAAGTGGGTTTGTAATTTTTGTCAGTTTCCTCATAAAACTAGTTGAAAAGTTGTTCTCCCTCTTTTTTTTTTTTTAATTCTCTGAGAGTTTATTTGAGGTTGTTATTTCTTCCTTGCATATCTCTAACAATTCAATATTAAAGGCATCTGAACCAGAAAGTTTCTTTGAGGGAAGGTTGTTAATAATAGTAAATTCCATGTGTGTGTGTGCACGGTAGTGGGAATTGAACCCAAGGCCTTAAACACGTCCGGAAAGCAGTCCACCACTCAATTAATGTCCATGGCCCTTTCTATTTTTAATTTTGAGACAAGATCCTCCTGAGTTGCCTAGGCTTGACTATAATTTTCGGGCTTTCTGCCTTAGCTTCCAAGTAATTATTTTTTAAAATAAGTATTAAACTTTTGATTTTCTATTTCTTTAGCCAACTTTTGTTTTTAAGGCTATTGTTTCATTTTAATTACGTATTTATTGACAAAATTCTATATAATAATTTTCAAGTAAAAATTGTCATGTTGTATCTTTTGCTAAATTTTTATCTTTTTATTCTTGATTAGTCTTGCCTTATTACTGGTTTTGAACACACATTCTTAATTTTTAAAAATGAAGACAAATGAAGATAGTTTGACAAAATAAATCTCTGATTTTTGGTACGTGAGCCAAGTGGAAAGACATAGTCCCATTAAAGTCAGAACAAGATTAAACTGCCACCAGTATGCTAAATGCTAGCTGAAACAGATATGAAAAACAACTTAGATGCTTGGAGATTAGAATACAGTAGTCAGAACTATCACTGTTTAGAAATGTGATATACCTGTAAAACTCAAGAAAATCAAATGAGAAATTATTATAGCTAATAGGACATGTGAAGTAATGAAGGATATTGTTGTTATGCAGAAATTGCTAGGTGTACAATATTCAGCAATGGTCCCTTGAAATATAAAAATGAAGACCCTCTATAAAAAGACAACACAAAACATATTTACAAATAACATGATAAAGGAGCAACACTGCCACAAGAGAGACTAAAAAACTACTGACAGATGATACAAACATACCCTTTTCTTGTGAAACTATACTGCTTGTTTTTAGTATAGTAGATTCAGTATGATAAAGATTTTAAATTCCCTGTGTTGTTTATGAATATGTGTAAATTTTCCAGTTAAAACGTAGTTTTTTATAACTAGACAAGCTAATTATAAAGTTCATATAGAAAAATACACATAATCAGGAAAAAACTGTAAAGAATAAGGATTACTCTATCAGATGTCAAAATATGTTTTAGAAAGTTTTAGTATTGAAAATACTAGTACTAAAACAAGGATAGTCAGAACACTGGAACAGAAGAAATGTTCATAAATAGACCCCAATCCAAAAAGTATATGATTAATATGTTGTCTCCTGGGAAGTGGGGTGGGTTTAAAAGACATTGAGACAGCTACTTCACCATATTAAGAAATAAAGATGAATTGAATTGATATGTCACACCATATTAGCATAATAAAAGATTAAAGTTTAAAACATTAAACCATGAAAGTTCTAGAAGGAAATATCAGAACATTACCTTTATTTTAGTCTCAGGTTGGGCCTAGCTAATTTACTGTGGTTGCAAGTCCAGAGGGCATAAACAAAAAGGTAGTAAATCAAACTGCAGCATTAAAATAATTCTAAATATTATATGATCCATAGTCAAGGTCAAAAAGCAAATTCTTGGAGGAAGAGAGAAAATAATATCCTCTAGAGAGTTACTAGAAATTGTTATCATGGCAACAGTTCAAAGAAGTTGTGAACAAAAGTGCAGTCATTCACAAGATAGGCAATACAAATGGTTCTTACTGAAATGTAAGGATGCTCAAACTCACTTATAAGAGAAAATCTAATTAAATCCATTGAGAGAGGACTCTTTCACTTGTTTAATCTGTTAAAAACCTGCAAGTTTAGTTTTGTTTCCGAGGTTATGAGAAAATACTCATAATGAGAGTGTAAGTGGGCAACACCTATACAAGATAATTTAGCACAATTAGATTTACATTTTAAAAGTTTTATACAATGCAGTTGCATACATTTCTTTAAACATTTTTTAATTTCAAAAGGAAAATTACTGTTAAAAGAACATTTAAAATAGCTCAGCGTTACCTCAAGTTTTATTTCACTTTTCTAAAAATTTGTTTTGATACTGATTTTTCTTATTTATTTATAGCCAGAACCACCAAAGAAACCATCTAATTGGAGAAGAAAACATGAAGAATTCATTGCTACCATAAGAGCAGCTAAAGGCCTGGATCAGGCCCTTAAAGAGGGTGGCAAACTTCCTCCTCCTCCTCCACCTTCTTATGATCCTGGTATATGGAATATTGACAAAAATATTCATGTGGATAGAAAACAATAGAATTTTTGTAAAATCTAATTTGTCACAAAACAATTTATTATAATGAAACCTAATAAAGCATAATCTTTAAATGCTTTGGTATGAAATAATAGTGATAATGTGGGCATTTAAATTTTAAAAATTATTATGCTAACCATCAAATGTTAATAATATAGGGGAAAATGTTTTTTCAGTACTGGGGATGAGCCCACAGCCTTTGAACTGAGGTACATCACAATCCTTGTTTTAATTTTTTATTTTGAAATAGAGTCTTGTTAAGTCACTAAGTTTCCTAAGCTTGGCTTGAATATATGATCCCCCTGTGCCAGATTCCCAGAGTACTAGCATTACAGGTATACTCCACCGCACTGGCTTCTAGGAAATAATTTAATTGCACTTACTGTGGCTTGAATTATAGTCATTCAGTAGGATTCAGATATGTTGCCTGGTTCTTTGGTATCCTCTCATGTGGGAAGAAGATAGTAAAATCTTACTGGTAAAATGCACAATTCATGTGTAGAAACTATGATGTGGACTATCTGAATTATGCTTTCAATTCATTTGTTATATTTTCTTCATTGGGCACCTAAAAGTTGCATTGTTACCAAAGTAAAGCAAGATTTTGGCAAACCCATATGAGAGGAGGTACTGATAGACTTAAAATACAGCACAGTTGATGATTTGCTATCGGTCATTAGAACAACCTAAAAAGATTGTTATTTTAATGTAATGTGAGCAACACTAAAATTGAGATAGACTACAATTTATTTCCTAGCAAAGAGTGCTTTTTAGCAAACCTAGATATGGTTATTTTTAACATTTTATTGTACAAGAGAAGTTGGCAAACTTTCAATGAAAGACCACATGACAGATATGTTAGGTTTTGCATGTATAGTCCTGTTGAAACTACTTAACTTTCTTTTTTTTTTTTTTTTGGTACCAGGGATTGAGCTCGGGACCTTGCGCTTGCAAGGCAGGCGCCAGAACCACTGAGCTGAATCCCCAGCCCAAACTACTTAACTTTCATTGTTGTAGTAAGCCATAGATAATATGTAAATGAATGGGTATAACTGTGTTCCAATAAACCTTTTTTATAATACAAAAACAAGCTGCACATGGGGTGGATTTGCCCCACAGGCTGTAGTTTGCCCACCCCTATTTTATTTATTTATTTTTTTTAATTTTTTTTTTAGTTCTTTCATTGGTACATTTTAGGTATACAATTCATTTACATCTATCATTGGGTGTTTGTACCTGTACATGATGTATCTTGGTTCTTATTTTTTTCGCCATTGCCTGTGTGCCCTTCACCCCCTCCACCCTTCCCTATTTACATAGATTTCATTTCCATTTTTTTTTTCTTTCTCATAATTTTTCCTTTCCCTCTTTTCTGTTCCACCTTCCCCTCCCTTCACTCCTTCGTCTTTGGACCTTTTTTCCTATTTCAAATTATCAAGTATTCATTTTAATCATTTTAACCCTTGTTTACACTATCAGTTTCTCATACTAGAGAAACTATTTGGTATTTACACATATGTGTCCTATTTATTTCACTCAAGAGTATGGCCTCGATATGCATCCATTTAGCTATAAATGACTCTAGTTTTTCATTCTTTATGGCTGAGTAGTACTCCATTTTATAAAAAAACCCCGCATTTTCTTTACCCAGTTTCCAGTTGATGGGCACTTGGGCTGCTTCCAAGCTTTAGTTATTACAGACTGTGCCACTATGAACATGGGTGCACATATATCACTGTGGTATGATTCTTTTAATTCTTTTGGGAAGATACCCAGCAGGGGAATAGCTGGGTCAAATGGGACCTCTAGTCCTAGTTCTTTGAGGTATCTCCATACTGACTTTCACAATGGTTGCACCAGTCTGCACTCGCACTAGCAATGGAGAAGGGTTCCTTCCCCACACCCCTGCCAACATTTGTTATTTGTTGATTTCTTGATAGCAGCCATTCTTTCTGCGGTGAGGTGGAATCTCAGTGTTGTTTTCATCTGCATCTGTCGAATGATGAGTGATTGCCATCCCCTATTTTAGAATATTACTAATTAACTGTAATTCTGTGAGTATGTCCAAGATGGTACAACAGGGCTTGGATCTCTTCTGCATCTACCTTTCTTTTCCTCATGAGAATGAGTCCTCTGCTTTGGTGGTACTAAGATTTTGCATCTTATTCTACATAGCTATATTCTTCACAAGTGAGTGAGACAGTGCTATTTCTTCATGATAACTTGGGATTTAGAAATTATTTAATCTTTTTGGCTTAACCAGGAAAAATTCTTTGTTATTACAGGTTTTAAATCTGTAAGCAGGACAGTTTTCTGAGCTTCAGATGAGTATAAATTCTAGAGGGCACACTCCTTCAAAAGTAAACCTTTTGAAATTAATAGCTTCTCTTTTGACACGCTTATATTTTTATATTTATTCTCAATGTCTCATTTGTTTGAGATCTCTCATAATGCAACAGAATTTGGTTCTGTGTTAATTTTGAGATTTAATTTTAGAAATTTTATTTATAGGAGCTGCATTTGGGGAGTATATTTCATCTTGGAAATGTTCCCTGTTTCTTAAATTTGAATTAATTATGTTAATGAAGTTTTATTTTTTTAAATCACTTCTTCCATCTGTTTTGGCTTCTAAGAGAAAATAAAATTGTTGGAAGTCCATTAAACTATTTCTTGACGGTTTTCTGTAATTGAAATAAGATTTTATAGATGAAGCCATACTGAAAGTTGTATTTTAATGTGTTATTACTATTTAATCTGAGACATAAAATTTGCATTTATGATGAAAGCACATGATATTATAGAGACAAAGTGATATTTTTCTTCTACTTCTTTTATGTTGAGAATTTATATTTTATTCTTTTTTTCCTCCTAGTTTCCTCTAAATTTGATTCACAGCTAGGACATAATTAGAATTAATTTAGTGGACTTCTTTCTTGAATGCGTAAATTTACTGTTTAGATAAGACAAGCTGGATGTTATACAGAACTGGGAATTTTTGGTTATCAGATGTAATAATTACAGATCTTGAATTTAGAAAAGTTAGTGATTATTTTAATATCTGTTTTCAAGTATTTGTTATTGATCTGTTTCTTTTTATCTGTTTTAGATTATATCCAGTGTCCATATTGCCAAAGGAGATTCAATGAAAACGCAGCTGATAGACATATAAATTTCTGTAAAGAACAGGCAGCACGTATTAGTAATAAAGGCAGATTTTCTGCTGATACCAAAGGAAAACCAACTACTAGGACACAGGTAAAAAACTCAATTTTAGTTATTTCTATAAATAAATGAGAACATGATGCTTTCAGATTCATAGTTTATGTAGATTATGTACATGCCTTACAGAACATTAAACTATATTTTTCTTACCAGCTAAAATAGATGTATTAGTTCTAAGGAGTTTAGTAAGAAATGTAAATGCCTAATTGAAAAACTAACCAATATAAAAAGTTAGAAGGGATTTGCAAAATATACTGAATTAACACATTTACTAAAATGTAATTTATTAAAAGTTAAAGATAGGTTGGACCAGTTTCAGAGGAATCCCAAAAGTATTTGAAGACTGAGAAAGATGCACTAAAAGACAGTTTGAAAATCACATAAATATTGTGAATATTTCTATATTATATACAAGCAGTATATGAATATGTAATGAACACAAGGGGAGGAAAACTTGGATTCCAATCCTGGTTGCTACATTTCATCCGTGAAATGATAATCTGCATCATAGCTGTGAGAAGCAAACATCATGTATGTGAAAACGTTTTGGTAAATTAATTTTTATGGTACTGTTATTTTTCTATAAGCATACTGTTAAATAGAAACATTGATAATGTAGACTATTAAGCAGATTTCTATTTTGACAAAGCTTTCATTTTTGAAGGTTTTTTTTCCTCTTGAGTCAGGGTTTCTCAGTGTTCTCCATGCTGCCTCCAACTCCTGGGCTCCAGACATACTCATGTCAGCCTCTCAAGTAGCTGGAACTACAGGTGTATGCCACAGCTTACAGCTTTAGTAACTTTTTTTTTAAGTTTTGTAAACCTAGCATACAGTAAATAAATCAAGTCTATATCTTATTATTTATGAATCAAACGTTGGATCAAAAGACCCCAAAACAATAGGGGCCTCTTTGGGAGATTGCTGGTACCAAACTTTTAGAATACTGGAAATAAACCGTATCATCTTTATCATCATCATTATGAGGAAAATACCTTTTGTTGAAAAGATTTTTCTTTCCTTAATGAATTGTCTAGGCATTTCAGTTGAAAATCAGTTGAATGTATATATTTGGTTTTATTTCAGGACAAACTTTTTTGTTTTATTAATGTATATGTCCTTTAATCAACATCATATTACCACTATACCAAAGATTATACCTTAATAATCCTGAGAATCAGATCACTGAAATTCTCCTATTTGTTTTTCCTTTCAAAAAATGGTTAGGCTAGTCTAGGTTGTTTACATTTATATATAAATTTTATAGTTGTTAATTTCTAAAAATAAAAAGGCTACTAGATTTGACAGAGATGACATTGTATGTAAGTCAGAGAATGACCATCTTAATAGTATTGCCTAGTCCATGAACTTGTTATGTTTCCTGCTTATTTAGATTTTGCTTAATTTATTGTCTTTTAGTTTTTAATATATAAGTCATGCACATATTTTGTTATATCTAACTTTCTTTCGATTTTTTCTGTGTATATAATCAAGTCATCCATAAATAAGAGCAGTTTTAGCTCCTACTCTCTGTTTTGTATGCCTTTCTTTTTTGTGATTTAGTGCTGACAGCCTTTCATTATAATAACAAATATCAGAGACCATTACCTTAAAAAGAAAGGGCACTTATTTTTGACTCACAGTTTGAGAACTTTCCATCTATGACCAGTTGGCCCCTTTGCTTTGCATCTGTGGTGGGACAGTGCATCCTGGCTGGCACATCTGGTGGTTGAGTCCTGTACACATCGTAGCTGAGTATAAAAAAAGAAAAGAAAAAGATGGGCATCCCATACCTCTTCAAGGACACAGCCCTATGGCCTAGCCTTGCGCTAGGTCCCGTCTCCATCATCTCTCAATATAGCCAAAAGCTGGAGATCAAGCCTTTAGCATATGGACCTCCAAGGACTTTCTAGATGCAAACTGTAACAGTTGTACTGTAGATCTGTCCATACGTTGCTGGATAGAAATGTTTAGAGTGGACATCCTTGTCTTGATCCTGTTTTTGAATAGGAAGCATTCAATTTTTCACCATTTACTTTGATGTTAACTGTGAGTTCTTATTTCTATACTTTGTAGGCTTTGAAAGTTTTCTTCTTCTTTACTGAATTTTTTTTTAAACTGCAAAGGGATTTGAATTTTGTCAAATTATCTTTTTAATCTATTGATAATACATATTATTAATATGATAAACCACATTAATGAAGTAGTATAAGATAGTATTAATATAATAAATTATACTGACTTTCAGATGTTAAATTAATTTTGCTTTCCATGAATGAATTCTACTTAGTAATGAATTGTCCTTTTTATATATTTTTGGATTTGATATGCTAAAATTTTGTTAAATGTTCATCTATTCTCAGGAGGAACATTGTTCTATAATTTAACTGAGATTGGTATCAGAGTTACACTGGACTCATAATGATTTCTTTTCTGAGTTTTGTAGTGGTGGGTTATTTTCTTATATTTTTGCTAGAATTCAGTTAAGATTCTAGCCATACAGTTTTCATTTTTCTGAGGTTTTAGATTACTACATAAATTTTTTTATTAGCTGTAGCATTCAAGTACTGTATTTTTATATCAGTTTTGCAACCTGCATGTTCTAAGTTTATTTCATCAGTGTAATTGAATTTATTGACCTAAAAAGTACTAAAAAGTACCTAAAAGTATTATCCTTTTTGGCTGTAGAATTTATGCTGAGTACTTCATTCCAAATACTGATATTTTGTCTTTTTTTCCCATCTAAGTAAAGTTTTGTTAATTTTTAAATTTAAATTTTTAATTTAATGTAGTTATAAAATTTCTTTCATTATCAATCTAGCTACTATAGTTTGTGAATTTTATTATGTCTTTCCAAAGAAAGTCTGTTGATTCATTCCTTCAGTATTGTTCTAACTGTATCTTACAAAAAAAGTTTATTTCAAAGCAAATCATTTACTTATAGATAATGAGATTCTTCACAATGTTTTGCTGTTATTTTTAATTTAATTCTGTTGTAGTCTGAGAACATAGTTGGCAAGATTTTCATCATACTGAAATTGGTTTTATTACCTAACATATAGTCTCCATTTGGTGGATGCCACATGGCATGTGGGAAAGAAAATGTGTGTTCTGCAATGTTTTCTAAATGCCATTTTAAGGTGACTGCTTCTGACTGGCTCTTCTTCTGGGTATTCCATCATTATTGAAGAAGTTTTGTAAATGTCAGTTTAAGGTGACTCATTTTGGCTGGTTTTTCTGGATGTCTTATCAGTTATTGAAGGAAGTGTATTAAAATGATGAACTATGATTTTTTTCTGTGTCTCTTGTTTTGCCACTTTTACATCAAGTACTTTGAGTATCTCCTGGTGTTTATATTTGCAATTTGTTATATTTGTCCCATTTATTATCCATTTTATCATTATGAAGTATCGCTTTCTGTGGCAACATTCCTTTTGTTAAAAGTGTGTTTAATCTGGTAAGAATATAGTAATTTCAGTTTAATTATGTTCACTTATTTTCTTCCTTTAACTTAAAGATGTTTTTGCAAAGCCTATAGACTAGCCTATAATTGATTCATGTTTTGCTTTTTCTAATTCATTCTGGCAACCACAACATTTTGGTTGAAGTGTTTAGATATTTTTCCTTTAACATACTTATTTTTGGTAGGTTGTATGTAAGCTTACCGTGTTGCTGTCCTCAAGTTTTGTTACTGTATGATTCTTGTGCTGCTTTTTCATAAAAGATATTTTTTTCTATTGGTTATATAATGTTGATTTTCTTTTAGTTACTCTAATAACAGTGTATCTTTGACTTATTCATATTTCATTTACCTCTTGCCATTGTTAGTGCTACTGTTATACATAATAACTCTAAACGGTATAAACTGTCAGTATTCTTGATGTGTATTGCTATGCTATATGGTATTATGACGTTTTTTTTTTGGTACTGGGGATCGAACTCGGGACCTTGTGCTTGCGAGGCAGGCGACGGAACCACTGAGCTAAATCCCCAGCCCTAGTATTATTATTTTTTAAAGCCACCTACTTTGAAGGATATTAGAAGAAAATAAATCTATAAACATCTGCATTCAAACAAATATTTATGTATACATATACATACTTTGTTTTATGTTTATTTATGTGCTTATCATTTCCAGACCTTCATTCTTTTTTTTCAACCTCTTTTACCATCTTTTTTCAATGCTCATTTGTTTTTATGGTTGGCTGAAAATGCCTGTCTCTTGGGATACCCTATCTGCTCATTCACCATTAACATGTTGACCATATTTCCCTTAATTCTTAAAGTTTTTTGATGTAGTTACAACTATTTTGAAGACCTTATTTGCAAAATCTTACACCTGTCTGTATGCATGTCAAGTCAGTTCCTGTTGATGGTCATTTTTGTCAAATGCAGGTCATATTTTCCTGTTTTTTACTAGTAATTTTTGGTTGAAGGCTCTATATTATAAATAATAAATCAAACCTGGATTTTGTTTTCTTCTCCTGTGAGATGGTATTTATTTTTCTATTTTTAACACTGAGAAGTTATCGTAGGCAGTTATACCCAGGGGGCATAGTTGCAAATCTTCCATGGTTCCTAGCCTTTTAATATTTTAAAAAATCCTCTTTCAGATTTATCTATAAGAGTGTTATATGGCCACTTCACCTCTCCATCACAGATTTTGTAATGTGTCACTGTATTTTTATTTTCTGAAAGTTTTTCTATTTTCCTACTTTTTATTGCTTGTAATTTAATATTTTCATTTTTTTAAAATGTATTAGAAAAATTGTTGAAATATGTGTCTGATAATTATTATATCAGGTGGCTTTGATAGATATATTTCTGCTGTCTTTTTTCCTCATCATTTATGCTTTCTTATCCATGATTAATATTTACTATTTTCAGCTTGTTACCTCTAAAACAGTATTTATGATGATTATTCATGTGAGCTACTTTCTCCTAAAGAAATTTGTGCTTGTTTATTTCAGTTAACTAAAAGTAGTCAGTCTAAAAATTTTTTAATGAAATTATTGGTGTGTGTTAGCTTGATTAGCCTTATACAGAAAATCCATGTGATAGCCAGGTAGTTATTATAATCTCAAAAAGAGTTAACCTGGAAATTTCTTTTTCTCTCATCTAAGCTTTTAAAATGATATTTTAGTGTCTTTTTTTAAAATACTTCGTTGTGCTTTACCAAGGCATTTTTAGTTTTTCATTGAAGGATTGGTTCATTCATTCCTTTTGTCAGAAAAGGACTTTGTCCAATTTCAGTAAAAATTTTTTACAAGTAGAAATATTTTTCCTTTACCTTCATCATTTTTAAGCATACAAATCAGTGATATTAAATGTATCATAATGTTGTGCAGGTACCACCATGCTTCATCTCCACAGCTGTTTTCTTCTTGTGGAAGTAAAGTTCTATACTTGGAGGATGTAAGGCTTTGAATCATTAGTTTACAATTTATAATCATAAATGACATTGATAAAATATTTTATTTTCATTATTTTAGTATAAACCACCTGCACTTAAAAAGTCAAACTCTCCTGGAACCACATCGTCAGGATCTTCACGATTACCACAACCAACTGGCACTAGCAAAACTGTTGTAGGTAATAAGATCCATAAAATAACTTTTTAAAAAGTATCAGTAATAAAGACAGCGGTCTCTTGTGGATTATTTAAATATATTTAAAAAGAAATGTAGATTAGGAATTATTTCTGAGTAAAAGTGAAATAAGTATCAAAAGCTTTACTTTAGATATTTTATTGCTTTTTTTTTTTTTTTTGCTTAAATGCCTACCCTTATGTTTATGTTGATTTATCATTTACTCAGAATAGTTGACCAAGGTCTTTTCCTTTTCCTTTTCCTTTTCTTTTTTTTTTTTTTTTTTTGCTTAAATTCTTTTATTGGTACATTTTAGGTATACAATAAGTTCACATTTATCATTGGGTGCTTGTACAAGGTCTTTTCTTTAACCACAATATTTTTCCTTCATTTCTGCATTGACTTTTTTATATCTGAACTCAACAGTTCTTTTTTTCTCTTAAGTTCTTTTACTGATACATTTTAGTTTACGTTTATCATTGGGTGTCTGTACCTGTACATGATGTATCTTGGTAGAACTTGACAGTTCTTCCAGATAAATATTTAATGGTTTGAAGAAGTCATTGACCATTAAAGTGTGCCTTCACTTGTGCATAAATTATAAAATAGACATTAAAGGGGCCGGAGGTTTAGCTCAGTGGTGCCAGTGCCTGCCTGGCAAGCACAAGGTCCTAATTTTGATCCCCAGTTCTTGAAAAAAAAAAAATTTTTTTTAAATTAAATAAATAAATAAAATGAAATAGACATTAAAATATATTGTTCTTTAGAAATACCATTTTTCCTTAGAAATACAAGTTTTTATTTTATAACTATTTATATCCATAAAGAACATTACTAAAGAATTGTTTTCCTTTTTAGATGCTCTATTTTTCATGTGAATTCTGTTTTTCAGAGTATTCTTAAAGCTGTTTCCTCTTTTATTATAAGGTGTGCCTTCAGGAAAAGTGTCTTCAGTTAATAGCTCTTTGGGGAACAAACTTCAGACCTTATCTCCCTCTCATAAAGTGGTAGCAGCTCCTCAAGCAGGGTAGGTCTCCATGGAATAATTTACTAGTGGTATATATTTAAATGATACTAACATTTAAATTTGTTTGAGGTAACTGGCCTTTTCATTAAGCTTAATTTTCTTTCTAAGTTCATTTGTTTTTTAACATATTGTTGGTCAAAAGCACACTCACTATTCTTGAAAATCTAAATTAATGCAGTCATTTTAGTAAATAATCTGGTGGAATGAATGTGCCTTAAAATAATTCATGTTTTTGATTGAATAATTTTACTTCTGGAATCTAAAAAAATAATATAAAATATAGAAGTTTTTCTAATAGCTATAATTTATTGAGCATTGTGTACCAAGCTAGCACTAGATATTTTACATATTTTTTATTAAAACCACTGCAGAACCATAGAATAGTAGAGTCAGAGAAGTAGAATAATTTGTTCAAAGCCACATTAGCTGCTAAGAGAAGCAAGGCACAATTGGGATCTATTTGACTTGAAACATTGCACTCTTACATGTTTTTATTATGATATTTAAAGTGAATCACCTAAATGTCTAGCTTTGATTGAATAGTAAATTATGAATATCTACAATATATTTTACAACAAAGAAAATATAAATAGTCTTTAATGAGATGATTCTGCTATAATAAGAGACGTGTAAGATACAATATTCCATGTACACTATGATGTAGTATAATGAAAACTATAAATTTAGGTAAACAAAAAGGGCCAGTAAAATATGCCATAATATTAATAGTGGGTGATTATTTTCCTTTTATTTAATACTTTTTATGCTTTTTATCTTTCTATACTGTTATATAGATGGCTTTTAATGAAATAATTAAACTTAATAATCCATTTATATGTGGGAAAATTTGTTGGTAACACTGGAGATTTTAATATAAAGCTACCTGATTTTATAAACTCACTTTTCTTTCTACTTTAATAAATTAGAGAATTAAGGGATTGCCGCAGGACAGTTTAAATTAGGGATTATGTTTTTATCTTTACATAAACTGATGTAGGTGATTAAGAAAATACAGTGTACATTATTTTGAAGTATAATTTATCTCTGGTTCATGTTTACTTTGTTTTTCATCTTAGAAATATATACAAGGGTATTTATCAAGTAAGATTAACTACCTTTTGCTTTCCAATTTAGAACACATAAAAAAATTCAAGTTCTAAAAAGAGTTTAATGTAATTAACATTGTAGGAAAAAATCAACAAGTCCCAATGAGGTAAATGTTTTTTCTTATTGTGTATTTTTCAAAAAGAAGAGACATGCTATTTGTAAAAAGACACAGATTGACAGTACAACAGGTAGCTGAAAAATAAGAGACTGTCTTCCATTGGTAAGAAACTGATCTAATATTTTTCTTCTGTACTGATGAAGTATAGATGAAGCAGTTAACTTTGTAAAAACCTTTTTACCATTCCAAAAACAATTGCCTTCTGTGTTAGGTTATGGTATTTGCAGAATGGTTTATGCTTTCCTTATAGTTGGCTATGAATTAAAAACAATATTTTTAATACTTCTGTTATTGATTCTGTTAATCATTTAATACTGGTGATTTTATCAGTTGGTGATATTAAGTTGTACTGACAGACTGTTCTCAGGTAGTACATATGAAGCTGACTTACAGAAAAAAGGGACCCTGATTTTTGAGTTAGAAAAACTAGGATTCTACATTCTCCTGTGCCACTAAATAAGTGTATGACTGAGTTTATCTCTCTGTTTTTCTGTGACAGTATTGTGTGACTGTTCGGTCTCTGACAAGGGGACTGAATCTGAGGATCTAAGAATTCTTAGATCCTCAGATTCTGAATCCCTGATCTAAGAAAATCTGACCAACATTTATGTTACATCCAAGGAAAAATGTTTTGACTAAGAATCAGAGATTTTGAGCACAATACTTTTATGAGTTGTAGACTAGATATTTGGTTGTCTCACATCATATTAAATTGACTCATATCTGTTCAAATTCTGATTGTTCGTAAGAACGTTTTGTATTAAAGGAGGGTTTTCAATTATTGGAGACTGATAGTGCTTGCTTCTGGCCAGTATGTTTTCTGTAGTCACTAGAAATTTCTATATTACTATATTAAATTAGAGCAATTCACAACTGTTTATGTATTCCTTTTTTAGAATTGTTGAGGTAATGATGTATTTATTTCCCCTGCTAGGTTGTAAACTTTATGATGATAGAGATGGTAGTATTACAGATGCAACTACAAAGTTTAACAGAATGTTTGACATATAGGCATACAATAAAAGTGGATAAGTGAAAAAAATGCATTAATAAATTAAATCCCTCATCTGTACACCTGTTGACACATCATAGCATGGTCCTGGAGGAAATAAAATTACTTGGAGTTTGTATGGGAACTGTATTTCTCATTTAGACAATTAATTCAAGGTTGAGTGAAGATGCAATTAAGACATCTGGCTAACTATAATGTTCAAGACATTGAGTATCTGCTGATAGGAATAATTGACTTCATTTCAGTGGCTGAATATTTAAAGCCTGATGTATATAATATGGGCCAAAATGTTTATAAAAAGATTTTTTTAAGGCAAAACACACCCTGATGGAAAATGCTTCCTTATTTTAAAATGATACTTTGGTTTTATCCTCGGGAATTTTAGAAGTGTGATGAAACCCTAAGCTTTTAAATAAATATTGCCACACTTCAGTTGTGTCACAGTTTACACAATTGAGACTTGAGAACTATGTTTTCTTTATGTATAACTACCATTTTCACTGTGTGTTTCAATAATTTTCAGTATCTACAATATCTTTCAGATTTACTTCTATTCAGTTATGAAAAAACGTAAGATTACTTCAGAGATTGACTGTAATAAATGAGGTAAAATTCGAGACAGGAAATACGTATGAGATACATTTTTAATTACAAACTTAATTTGATTTCTCATCACTATATTAAAAAAGTAAGAAATGTGTTTTTTATATTAGTAGAAACATGCTTTTTTTATAAGCTAATCTTTTGATGGCGTAAATCATGTATACACGGGGCATTATTTTGATTTTTATGAACAAAATACATTTCAAAGATTTGAGTGCCTCAGACCATTGTAACTACAGAGGTCCACAGAGATATATAAAATGTCATGTGGTAAAAATTTTCACCAGTATGAATTCAGAAATCATCTTTTTATTATATCTCAATCTATTGTGCTTGCTACAATCTTACGATATACTTGGTGAACCATAGTGAGTGACTTAGTTCTTAAATGAATTGATTCTTGGTGTTAAAAGTAAATGAGGACCTTTCTTAGGTTAAAGTTTATTCCAAATTAGGAAGAGATTAATATGATTGCAAAACATTTGTTGAAATGGTCATTCAGTTATGAATTTTTTGGAAGCCTGAAAAAGTATTATATACAATCTTCGTCATTGCAATTTATAAATTTTTATTTCAGCACATAGCCTAACATTAGCAGATTATAGCAAATAAATTTAAGTCATTTTTAGCCCAAGAATCATTTAATAAACATTTAAAAAGTGTGTGTGTATACTTATATATACTTTGAGTTGAGTTTGTTAGCACAAGTATGTGGTACAAAATAAATCATCATTGGAATCTTATCTAGGTTTTCAGGGTCTGAAAATATTGACAGCTCTAATATATGTACTTTTTCTTTGAAATAACTATCTTTAGATTTGTAATAGATTGTACACATTTCCTTTCTCAAATTGAACTTTATAAATTCACATGTGGGATTTAAGTACTTCTGACCATATTAAAAGAATATGTGTTTAAAATGTAGTTTAAACTTTTCTAATCTTTTTTCTTTCTATTGTGGTGCTATAGATTGAACCTAGGGCCTTGTGCATGCTAGGCTGAAATTTTCTAAATTTTAATTTTACTAACTTTTTCTGAGAAAGAAGGATCTTTTATTCCTCATGCACAAACCACAGATTTCCTTTTGAAAATAACTGCTGTTTGGATAATAATGCTTTGGTAGTTATTTAATGATTAAAATTCCACATCTTTCACAAATTAAAAACAAATTTTAATCTCAGATGTCTTAGAAATTATGCTTAATAAGCATTTAATTAAAAAATTTTTTAAAACTTCAATCTCTGATACCACTCCTTATGCTTTTGCATTGAAATACATGCTATACATAGGCCACTTAAAATCATACAAATGACCATAATGTGTTCCTCCACTGAGGCCTTTCTAGTCTAGAAAACTGAGCATATTATTTTTAGATGGTAAGCTCCATATGAACAAGTATCATGTTTGTCTAATTTGCCAGTGTCCCCAGAAATTAGCAGTGTTTGACACATACCGTAGTAGATCCTCAAGTTTACTAAATGAATGAAAAAAATGATTAAGTTTGTGAATGAATAAAAAAAATGAGTGGATTCCTTGGAAGGAAAGAGAAGAGGATGAAAAAGAATTAAGGTGTATATTATGTACTCATGCCAGCTTCCCATGATGAATATAATCCTTTCTGCAAACATGTGCTAATAAAATTTTTAAAAATTTAAAAAGAATGCACTTTTAAAATTAAGCATTGTTATAGTCATTTAAGATAATTTTTCTAATTACGTAATTAAATTTTCCTTGTCCAGGCTATGAATAGTTATTGGTTGGTAATGGGATATGTAATTCAGTTCTTTGGTTTATGTAAAAACATTCTTTATTATGCAAACCTGCAGTTTGTCCTGTTATCCTCTAGGTGGAGATATCAAATACTTTTGAGTTAAAAATTTTCGCATTGGGTAGTTATTTAACATTTTACAAATGAATTTTAGAATTGCCATCCCTAGTTTTTTTGGGGTTTTTTGCACATTTCAGAAATAAATTCCATTTTTAGAAAGTCAAGTATGATTAAGATATAAATATTATTCACTTCTTATTTTATATTTGTAATTATAAAAGGCAAGGGAAATTATACAATAAAATAATAGAGAAAATACTATCAATTTAGGGAAGAGAAAAAGTTAGGTTACTTGTGAATAATAACTTGCAGTTCATGTTTTCCTTTTTAAACCATTGTTGGCTTTTCTGACTGATTCCATTTCCCTGCTGTGTATGAGTTCAGTATTTGTTTGGATGTATATCAAAACTGGCAAGGTGGCCTGCATAGTCAAGAATCTAATAATGAACATTGTATGAATTCTCTGGAGAATTCTTTTTGACATTCGTTCTCACCTTGCAGTCAGATAATTAAGAGATGGGATGGATTTCTTATGAAACAGAATTATCTTTTTCTTTAAAAAAATCTGTATATTAAGAAACGAACAGTAGCAATCTCCTTATGGGTACACCTTTATATATTTTAATGATGGACAAGTTAGGCCCTCCACTTCGAACTGGAAGACATGTGCAAAGGTTATATGACAGTGATACAAAATCAGACAGTTCCTTCAAAAGATGTGAGTTATTACCCATTTACAGGTAAGTATTTGCAGTTCAGTTTGGCTAACCTTTTTTGTCCATTATATTAAGGCTTTATATTATGGAAAGCTGTTTTACTTTATACTTAAAAAATAGTTTTAGCTTGATAGTTTTAAGCTGGAAATTACTAAATGTCTTTTTAAATCTTAAAACATTTTTATTAATTGTTTAATGTTTCTAAGAACCACTGTGGGTTTTTTTTGGTTTTTTTTTTTTGGTACCAGAGATCGAAGGTAGGCGGTGGAACCACAGAGCTAAAACCCCGGCCCCTAAGAACCACTGTTTTTAGATCATATATTTTATTCCATTAAGTACTAATTTTTAGAGAATTTAATAGCAGTCACTATCCACAGTTGTTTTACGTCTGCTTTTTTGTTTGTAAAAGTAATAATTTTACAAAGAAGAATATGGGGAAATTATGTATAATATTTAATATTACTAAATTTTCTATGAGTGGGGAAGATAATGAATTATTACAGCCAGAAAAAAATCATAGAAAACTTCCAATCAAGCGATTAGCCTTTTTGTTCAGTGGGTATAAATTCAACCTAAAACAAGAAAAGGGGTATGACACTGCTAGACCTTCTGGGTTCTGCCATTGCTGACTGGGGATGAGTGTGGTAATTACAGTCATTTTTGAAACTCTGCAGCATGAATCTACAAGATTTACTAATTTGGGTTTCAATTCCAAGTCTCACCCTCATTAAATGATGAAATAAGAGCTTAATATATTAATTTATTAATGTTGAAAAATATATAAAACAGTAATTTTAAAACACTGTACTACAACATTCTGCTTATTTATATATGAAATTATATAATAATAAAAATGGAGAAAGTCTTTAAGATATTAGCGGCAGGTATGGGTTATTTTTTTATTAAGTAATAAATCCTAGAAGGCAGATTTTTGTGTCTTGAAACAATTGTCTGTATAGTAGTACTACTGTCTCTACCCTCCTAAGCAGATATCAAAGAGAAACTGACTAGCAGTAAGATAAAATATTACTTCCACTATTAAACCATGCTTTATTATTTGTCTCAGTTGCAGCAAGCAAATTATAGATACAGAATAAGGATAACCCTTTGCATACTCTGATTAGGAAGAAAAATGTTTGTATGAAACTAGGGGAACATGGTTTAAATATTGATCAAAATAATTACATTCTGTTTCTTAGAAGATACTACTAAAATAATTGATAGGTATTTAATATCATAACTTATTGATAATCTGTTAAATTTTCCTCTAAATGTAAATATTTCAAACAACTTTAAATTATTGATATGGTGAGATTATATACATATATTAATGGGTGTGTTTGTGTCATATGTATTTCTTTAGCACATAGTAGTATATGAAGGTGATAGTATTTTTAACAAGCTTTCCTCTAGGACCTAAAAGAAAACATTTTCTTCCTTTTTGAATGTATTTGTTGACGATGTTTTTCAAAAGTATTGAATTCCTAGAAAACTCTACAGTAGTTCTGGAGCATCCCTAGATGGGCTATAGTAAAGCAGAGTAGAATAAACTTCGGAAACAGACATGGAATGACCATTTGAAGAAGGCCAGACATCTGATCCACATTGCAAAGTGATTCTTTGCTTGTTGAAGTAACTACTCAAAGCATCCATTTTGTGAATGTTAGCATCACGTGATGAGTGTGAGATTTATAGTATAGGCCACAGAAATTCAAGTTTAAGTACTAATCTGTCACATGGTAACTTGTCAATTTAAATAGTATCTCTGAACTTGAGCTTCTTCTAACTGGGCATAGAAGTGTGCTCCTGTAGTTCTAGCTACTGAGAAGGCCCAGTTGGGAGAAACACTTTGAGACCTTGCTGGGAAGCACAGCAAGACCCTGTCTCAAAAAAAAAAAAAAAAAAGAGAGAGAGAGAAACAAGGACAGAAAAGGAGTCTTTAATTTTGAAAAAGAAATATTATCTCCTGATTTGTGAGACAAATAATGTACATGTAGTACCTGCGTTCATATTTGGCATGTAGTGTATGTTTGAAAAATAGTTATTTACAAGTATATTAGAAATAGTTATTTAAAATTTTATGAGAGCCTGTCTTTACCATGTAAGTAGAGTAAGAGGAATTTGAGCCAAAACTTAAGAACTTCTAATTTAAAGGAGTTTTTAAAAAAGTATTCTACCTATTTATGTGATGCAATGTTGTTTACATGTGAAATGAAAAGACTGACTAACTCTTTAAAGAAAGGGAGGGAACTGATGCTCTAAAAAACATCTGAACCCTGCCTTTGCAACATACTATCTGTGTTAGTTTGGGTAAGTTTCATCTCATTTGCCTCAACTGTTAAATGGAATTATTAATACTTACATGTTTCATAAAATAAATAGAATTAAATAAGTTTACATATGCAAGACAATAGAAATGTATTTGGTATACAGTAAACTATTATGAAATATTAACTTGTAGTAATCCTAGTAGTAGTAACAGTACTAATAGTACTAGCTGTAGCAATGCTAAATGTTAATGTAAATTTATTTCATAACTTTTTGGTAAGATAAAGTGATCATTTTATCAATGAGAGAACTCAGACTCAGGTGGACAACTATCATAGAGCTAGTTAATAGCAGTGAGGATTTGAATCTAGATGTATTTATATGAATGTCAAGGCCTATCTTTTAGCATTATATCATCATCTAATTTTCTATGATTCCTAAAGTTTTAGAATGGAATTCATTGATGATCCAACCAGATACCAGATAGCTATGCAATTGATGAAATTAAATATTTAAAGGGGAAATGGTATTAATTCATCTAATTACTTTTTCAAAGAGCTTTCATAAATTGAATATTATCCTTTAAACTAGTTAACTGTTTAACTATGTCTCATGTACTTAGGACAATAAAAAGAACTTAAATATATTACTCAAAAGTTATTCATAGACATTTGATAGAATAAATATGGTTTTTAAAGGAGCTATATATTTAGACTTTTAACTTTGAAGCCTTTCATAATGATTATTTATAAGTTTCATGTAAAACATATGTAAATATCTTAATTGATTTTCATATAATAGGATTGTGTTGGTTAAGCCAAAATACTTTATCCATAGTATTAACTACTACTTGTTTTCAGACTTTAAATAATTACTTGAAATTTAATCTTTTGAAGCTCTCTTGCCTCTTAATCATCCAAACAGGTAATTTAAAAAAGTCAATGCTTATATTCAATATTTTTTCATCATGTCATTTTTTTCTCTCTTCTAGAACTAACATCAAACCTCGAAATTCCACACCACCCAGTTTGGCAAGAAATTCTGCGGCAGGTGTATTTATAAGCAAAAGAAAAACACATACTGAGAGCTACATAGCTAGGTATCCTATGCTATGCTATGCTATGCTATGCTATGCTAGCTATACTATCCTAATAACTAATGCTGAATATGTGTAGTTTTCTGAGTCTCATATACAAAAATTGGGTAAAAAACTATAGATAATCTGATTCTCATTCTATAATTTAATAGGATTTTAAGTTACTCTAAATATTTCTTCTACTATGTAGTTATAAATATTGCAAATGCTCAAAGACAGTTTTAGTTATACTAAATTTATATGAATATTTATACCTAAGTTTAAATGTAACATGGGCATTTTTACCTCTAAAAGTGAGATGATCAATCCTCTGAATCACTGCCATTATAATTTTCAGCATTTTTAAAATATTTAAACCTATCCCTTGAGGTGATACGTTTTCTAATCCATCATGATATGTAATTATGACATTCACTGCTTTTAAATTTATAATTCATCTGAATTATAGATGCTTATATTTATAAATATGCTACCTTGTTCCAGAAAGTTTTAAGGTAAGGCACATAAATCCATGAAGTGTAGTGAGATACACTATTTTTTTAATGGCAGAAGAATTGGAAGAAAACAAAGTTTAGAGTTAAAAGATACAATGGTAGTAAAGTTAGCCTATAAAATATGTGTCATGAGACCATGTATATAGTTTAGCCCTGGGCCACAAATTATGATTTAAATTTTTTCACTGCCAGAACCACAGGAGAAGATTATTCAGAATGTCTAAAAAATAGAAACAAATCAGTTTCTCTGAAAAACTAGTTAGTTCTAAGACCTTAAAAGTGCTTCCATGGATTCTCATAAGGAAAATACCAGGTGACATGGTAGATAACTTGTTAGCATCCGTACTGCAAACGTGGAAATGAATTTCATAGGTTGTTTTCTGAGGGTTTCTTCAATGTAGGTCAATAACATTTTATGATACAGCAAAAAACAGTGATGTTGTGTGTGCTATGTTCTGTTTTTGTTATAAGTAACATATTCAGATATCCATTATTCTAATTTTATCCAGGGATAGTTTTTCAATAATCTAAAACAGTCTCAACCTTAGTTGCCCATGAGAATCATTTCTGGAACTTTCTAAAATGGAACACGTTCAGAGCTTTTCCAGAGATTTTGATTTCTTTGGTTTGGAGAGTGACATCTATGCCTCTGCCATATAAAAAGCTTTAAGAATGATGCTAGGTAACAAGATGAGAACATAGAGGATTAGATAAGTTGCTATCTTTCCATCTAGATTGTAATAAATACTGTTTGTCGCTACTAAGGATTTGCTACATATTAAATATAAATGAGCATATTTTTCTTAGAGGTCTAAAGTACGGTTTACTGTGTTGTATATATGTGGACCCATGTTATTTTGAATGAAGGCTGAGTGAAGGATTAATATTTTCTTATGAAAATGGAAAACTTAATAAGTATATATGTACATATACAGTCAGATGTTTAAATAACATCTTGTCTTATCTCTCCAAAGCAATGAGTGAAAGACAAAAGAAGTAACAACAGGCACGAGCAAAATCACATTAACAAATAAGTTTTTTTAATTTGTTTGTCTTTTAACAACTGATACGTAATGAAGAGCCCAGAGCCTTGCTTATTTGACTTCCCTCAGCATTCTATAATTAGAACAGATGAAGAAATGTCCTGCAAAAATGAGCGACCATATATCCTTGAAACCCTTCCACTAAAAACACCTAAACATGAAGGAAATATATACAAAATTGTTATTTACAGAAAATACAATTATATAGTAAATACCCCCAAAAGGCAAATTATTGAGTAATAATGAAGTCTTATTAAATTTTCTGAATATGAGATCAATATATTGAAAGTTAGTATACTCTGCCTCAGCAACAAACAGAAAATACACTTTTTAGAAATTTCCCTTACATGAACTCACACATATTTAAGTTACAAAGGAATCAGTTTAAAAGCTAAGCAAGAGCCTTCATTTTGATGGAGAAAAATTTTTAAGCTTCACAGACAATAAAGAAAATGTAAATAAAAATGTTTATCTTTTTTATAAACTTTAATATTGTAAATCTGTCCAGCTAGGCTATCTATATTTTCCCCTAATTAATATATAAATACAGTGCAATTTTGAAACAAAATTCACAAATCTTGACAAATTGATTTCAAAATGTGTGAGAAGAACAGAGGCCTGATATTAGACAGGATGTGTTAAAAAGTATAATGTGTGAATAGTGTATGAAGTTATAGTAATTAGGATCATTTTATACTGATTCAAGGGTAGACAAACAAACAAATGATCATAGTGGAGTGATAGAAAAAGACTGCATTTCCTTAAATGACTCTGTTACATTTCAGAGGAAGCAGTGTAGATTTCAGAAGTGGGACATGCTGGGACAAATAGGTGTGCATACATTGAAAACTTTATAATTCCTTCATATCAGGCATTAAAGAGTGGAGCTGGGCATGTAGCTCACTGATAGAATGTTTGCTTAGCATGTGCAGTGCGCTGTGTTTGATCACTGAAAAAATCCTACCAGTTACAAATAAATTAAAGTCCTAAATACGGAAATGAAAGCTGTTAATATTTTAGAAGAAAATGTAGATAACTCTCATTATCATCTCAGCAAGTCTTGAGACTAATTTTGAAAGCATTAACTGTACAGCAAAAGTTTGATATATTTGATCATATTAAAATGAAAAAGTAGTGCTACAAAAAACTCCATGAATAAAGTAAAATAGCATGACAGATTTTAAGAGGATATTTACTATATACATAAGGCAAAAAATTACTGCCCAGTATAAGTGAATTTCTGTAAATAAAAATTTAAAAATGAGCCCATATAACAGCTCTGGGTTTTGATGGGGTTGAGGGGCAGGCATTTCACCATAGAAAAAAATATAAATACCAAAGAAACATGAAATGATGTTTGGCCTCATAAACAATCAGAAAAATATATATTAAATATGCAGAGTTACCATTTCATTCATATATGGCTAAGCAGAAATTAAAAATCTCTGTAAACAGTACATATTGTGTTAGAAAACGGTCACTGAGAAACCTCAGATGCTACCCTTGGAGTATAAATATGCTAACAAACATGGTAATGAGATTTATGTGTACTTTGTTCTAAAATGTTAATAACTTTCTTTAATACCTTTCCTGGAGAAATTTAGCAATACCTAGTTAAGTTGAACTTTTGATATTGTGATAAGTGTGTACTAACATTGATACCAGAATGGTGGAAATAATTAAGTTCATGAACTGAGGTACCACTGTATGTGTTGATTTCGTTAAATGTACGTACTTCAGTATTTGAGTGATCTTTTATATTTTGAAATAACTTGTATATTTCACTAATAATAAAGTTGGCTTATTTTCCCTTGATATTCTTCTTTGACCAATATTATGTCCTCTAATTTGCTAGTATTTTCTTTGTGGTTTAAAGGGAATATACTGATGATATAAACTTACTCTCAATACAAAAGACTAGTAATTCTCCAACCTCTCTGTACTGCTGCTAAAATTGGGGGAGAGTAAGATATACTCAAACACATAAAATCCTGATATTTGCCTCATTTTCATCTGTGGACCTTTTAGATACAGAGTAGCTCTAAAAACCACTGAAATCACTTAGTCTACTGTTTGTAACCTGTTTGTATGAAGCAAGGACCCAAATGGAACAGCACTTAGAATTCTTCAATAACAATTTCTGTGAAAAAAAATTTTTTCAATGGTGTTCTCATAATCCAGTGATTTAAGAGTTCTCCTTATGGAGATTTTAAAGTAAATAGCATGTTCTTAGAAGAACAACTTCCAGGAGGGAGTGTAAAGATTTTTTTTATAAAAATAGAATAGTTGTTTTCCCAGTTAATTAATGTTTCATCAGTAGATTCTGAATTTCTTCATTGTCTGGCTTCTGTGATGAAACCCTTATGAGCTCGGAGATTTTTGCTCTAAACTATTGTTATTGTGTATGAGGTGTAATTTAAAAACATAGTAAATGTTTAAATTAAAAATGTAAGACATTATTACAGTAAAGGATACATCGCCATTAAGTCCTGTCAAAGTACTCACCCTTGCTTCAAACCTATTTATTCAATCATTCTTGCCACTTTCTGAGGCAGTTCTGAAAGTCCTTTTTCATATCTTTAGTCGTGCTGTTGTGGCTGACTCGATGTCCTAAATCGGTTCAAAACATTTACAGCAACTTCTGTCAAAGTGGTGTGTCTTCATTGACCTTATTCACTGGATCTTGTGCAGTGTGACTTCTGGCTTTTCCCAAAGTCAAAATGACAGGAAATGTAAACATTTTGAATCAATTCAGGACATTGTGGTAGCCATGAAATGTGTTCTAAGTGAGGAGTTTTTTGAGAAGGATATATGGCAGTGTGCCTTTTTACTGTAATACATTAAAAAAATTTAAGCATTTACTTTTAATTATACCACATATAGTTTCCTAGCATCTGTTTGACCTTCATTATGTTTTATTAATATTAAACTCACCCTAGTAGGGCATGCCTAGGAGACTGAATTTTTATTACATCATAATAATATAATTGGATAATTAGATTGGAGTTAATACTAAAATAAATATTGGACATAGCACGCATAGTCCTTATAGTCAAAGAGGGATACCTGGAACCTAAGGACTTTCATCTTTCCTCAGGCCTGCATCCTAGTTTTTTCTTAATAGGATGGTTTTGCAGAAAGAACATTATAAATTTTCTTCCTTTTCTTATTGTGCAGTAAATGCCTAACATAAAACAGAAAGATTGGCTGAATTTGGTCCTCATCAGTGTTCCTGATCTTTGTTCCTAACAAAGATAATCTTAAAAAAAACACTTGAAAGTAAGTCACTTAACAAGGATGATTCTTTTGTATTTGAACTAGAGGACTATTAAAAGTGAGATTGAGCAAGCTTTTAGTTATGTATCCTGTTCCTCAAGAGTTATGGGTTAATAACTATTGATGTGAACTTTATTTTTCTATTTCCTTTTACATGTCTTCAGGCCAGATGGAGACTATGCATCTTCCCTTAATGGTGGAAACATTAAAGGCATAGAAGGAAACTTGTCTGGACACTTACCAAAATTCTGCCATGAGTGTGGGACAAAATACCCTGTAGAATGGGCAAAGTTCTGCTGTGAATGTGGCATTCGAAGAATGATTCTGTGAACAGAATCTTAAAAAGAGCCAGATTCAGAGTTTTATGATTGTTGCTTCTTGGATAGTTTGAACACTTCCTGTAGTTATTTTGTGCTAAAACTATTCAAAATACTGTTTTCATAATTTTTGGAGCATAATTCTTCAGTTGATTAATGTGTTTGTATATATGTGTGTATGTAGTGTATATAATAAATACCTGATAGCCCAAGCTGTGCTATTCTAGGAAATATTCACTCACCTGTCAGAAAATCATTTCCAGTGGAGCCATTAACTTAGGTATTATTCTTCTGTTAAAACATATTCGGTATACCTTCAGAAACGCTCGAGTGCTTAGCTGTTCAAGCTTTAGGATAATCACAAGTTTGAACAAAAATTCATATTAAACATTGCTATTGTTTGTGCCTAGGATCAAGAGTATTGTAGCTTATGGGACACTTGGAATTTTGTAATGAAGAGAAGGTTTTAGTTTTTCTTAGTTGATGTGAAGTCATTTTCCTGTTGAACTTTTCAACAACTAACTTTCTATTGCAAAAAAAGAGGAGAAAAAAAATGCCTAAGGTCCTTGTTGTCCCCAATTCAGTATATTATTAATTATGTAATTGAAGGAGCCTTACATGTTCTGTGAAAATGTAATTATTCAATTTTCTTTCCAGAAACACAAGACTAAAAATACAAATGTAAATTATTATACCTGATTTTTTAAACCTGTGTGTATATTAGTTGAACATACATTCTACTTCACTTGTATTCCTAATTTTTACTTTTTTCTTTCTTTACTATAACTTGTCTGAAGAGTAGTTTTAATTTTTTAATTTACTACATCTTTGCAGTATTTTAAAATGTAATTATTTATAAATTACAAAAAAAATTTTTTTCCCACTGGGGCCTCAAGCATTCTAGGTAAATGCTCTACCACTGAGCTACATCCCCTCCAATCCCTTTTTATTTTATTTTGAGACAGTCTTGCTAAATTGCCCAGGCTGGTCTCTAACTTGTAATCCTTCCTTCTCAGCCTCTCCAGGAGCTGGGATTATAGATACGTGCTACTTCACCCAGAAAGATGCTCAAATTTCTCTGTAAAATCTTCCATTTTAAACATTTTATTTCTGTGTAGCTGAATTCATAAAAAATTAAGACATTTTAAAACAGACCACTTCACTTTAATAAATAATAATTGTGGTAATTACTCATTACTGCTGAGCATGCAGGTAAAAATTATTTAAATTTAAGTTCTTTATAGTACATTTAGATGTAGATATGAGTAGGTTAAGAGAATATCTAATTTTCCTACTCATATTTTATACTTTAGTGTTTAATGTTGAAACTCCATTTACATCTTAATAAAAACCACTGAAAATGTATTAATTGAATGCATAGTTTACTTCTATAACTACACATTCACAAAAATTTATAATTTCTTTTTAACATGACTAAAATAGAGATGTTGATTATTGTCACTTTCAGTTTAAGTTTTCTTTCAGAGCTTATCCAGCCATATTCACTAACTCCTTAGTAATTATGTTCAATCAAATCGAAGTCAGCCTTATCTTAGTATAAAGGTATAAGTAAATTTTTTATATAATATTTTCTAGCTTTTGGTTTATAATTTTGATTCACTGTAAGAATCAGTGTAGAAATTTGTGACTTAGAATTTCATTTATCTGAAATTAAGTTTTTGTTTTTATTTTTACATCAGGAAGGTATTATAAACTTAGTGGTATTGGAATTGTCAGTTTTACTTGCCTTATATCCTTTCCTGATTTTTTTACTAGTTTTTTTTCCCAGTTAACCTGTTACAGTATAAAAAAGTTCATCAACTCAAGCTGTAATGAATTTAGAAAACTAATATACCTACTAGATTTCCATTTCAATAACTTCTATTCTCTAAGTGTTATGAAGCATATAAAGAATTTAGAATTGTGTTTTTCTAGGAATGAACACTGTTTTCTTTCAGATATGTTTCTAAGATCACATACCTTTTTCTTTTTATGCTCAAGGAAAAACATGAGTTTAAATTAAATTGGCACATGTTTATTTCTCACTGAATTTTTCAGTAGTAGGTAAATATTATAATGTATTCCATGGAAATGAATTGGTAAGCAATCATCCAACTCCAGAGCCCAGAGATTATTATAACCAGTAAGTAGGTGAAATATGACTTATAAAACATGTTGTGACAGTGTATTTAAGTGCATTTTATATTACTTGCATATTTTAGTCTCACATTGATTTGTTGTGCAATAGTGTTTAAGCAATCATACTATGCATCGTTTATTTTATTTTTATTTATTTGCACAAGTATTTGCCAGTATGGTAGAATGAAAAATTATTGTAAGCTTAAGTTAAAAATGTAAAAAATCACTTATATATTATTCTGAAAGTTAGCTTGAAAAAGATTATTGTGACTACTGTTTCCTGTTCATATGTTTTTTATATCTTCATTTTGAACCAATTCAATAAAGACATGAAGTGCAAAAAGGCTAGTTTCTATTTATTGATGTTTTCTCTTTTAGACAAACAGATAGGAACATACTGAAAATAATAAAAATATTTGAAGTCAAATATACAAAATTTTAAAATGAGAAAGTAGACTTTCTGTTTTGTAAAATGCCATCAGATTTTTTTTAAATGCTGTTTTATTGAATTGAAGGTTTTATGGCTTCAAAATATTGTAAATGCTTTTGTTACAAATTCTTATGGAAAAGAAACATTTACCCAGTAAAATACATGAATTGAAAACAGTGATGCTAGGGTTGTTAGGAAGTATGAGTATTTCTAATTAAGTACTACACAGTTTTATTTGTAGTGAATATTTAATGACTTAGGCCATACTTTACAATTTAGAAAGGAGTTATTTCTAGTAAAAATGTGGTTAAATCAGGCATGTTTAATTTAATTGGTACTCACTTTTCCTCTGCTGTAAGTGAATGCTTTTATTGGGAGTAAAAGCCTGGGGAATGAAGACATAATAGGAGAAATATATAGATATAAGCCTGAAGATCTCTTGGGTTATTTGCACTGGATGTATAATGAATTTTATGTGGTAAGTATACTTTTAGTATTAAAATGGGTTTATTTATTTATTTATTTATTTTGGTACCGGGGATTGAACTCTGGTCCTTGCACTTGTGCAGCAGGCAGCGAAACCACTGAGCTAAATCCCCGGCCCGGGTTTATTTTTTCCAAATAACTATACTTGTGAACATAGAAATGTGAATTATTAAGCAAAGTTATTGATAGCTACATTTGTTTTTACTTTCATTTATGGAAAGTTTCAGTATTATTGAGGACACTCATTATTTTAAGTCCAATTTTGTTAAGCTACTCTATGAATTCCTTTTTATGCCACTAGAGGGTGCTTTTGGGTAATTTAACATTATTCTAGCCTTCATTTGTTTTAAAGACTTTAGCAATATAGTTGTCATGATTTGTGTGTGTGTGTGTTACTTGTGATTATACTCAGAACCACTTTCACACTGAGCTGCATCCCCAGTCATTTTCTGTTTTGAGATAGTGTCTACATTACCCACACTAGGCCCAAATTTTCCATCCTCCTGTCTCAGCCTCCCAGAATGCTGGGATTGCAAACATATGCCACCAGGCCCAGCTATAATATTTATATTTTTATATATATATATGTATATATATATATAATTTTTACAATATGAAATTGCAGATGTCTATAAGTTTATGTTTTATTGTGATTTTAGTAATTATGCTAATATCTTAAAAATTAGTTCAGCTTATTTTTGGCACCAGCATGTTAGTAACTTAGAAATATTTAATATTTATGCTTAATATTTTAGCATAATCATACACCTCAGATATCACTTAGGCACATTGCCAGATATTTGAAATATTGCTTTAATTTCTCATTTTACTTATATATCAATTCAGTCGGTTATATTCTTTTTTAAGACAAACTTCTTTTTCCTCCAATCATCTAAGCTAAATTAATATTGTCTAAATATGCATGTACCATTATTTAAATAACCAGTAAACAAGTGATGATGCCAAATAATAGTGTAAGATGCACAAAACTAAACCTTTATCCTTTAAAAAAATACTTTATGTGAACTTCATTCTATGAAATGCTGGAGATAAAGAGAATAAATATGTGATTCAGTCTCTACCCTGAAAATGATGATATTTATTTGGAAAGGCTAATATGCAAACGGTAACAACTTATGATAAAAAGAAATGATTTGTTTTAGTAGAACTTCTCTTTATCATGAAGGCTAAAAAAATGTTAAAGAGATCTTCCTAACCACCACAAGTTATCACAACCGACCATTCCTACCTTCGTATTTTCATTGTCCCAGCTTAGGAGGAAACCTGGTAGAATACAAGTAAGAAGTACATTGCTTTTTGATAGAGAAAAGGGAAGTGGCAGTAGAAAGAATGTATTTGGCCAGGTCCCTTGGATCTGAAGAATGTGAACTCCTTCCTCTAAACTTCTGTGAAGTACAGGAATATTCTTGCAGCCCTTTAAGTAAACATGGTTTTGGCTTTTCCCTTTGTATCATAGGAAGATTGATTCTTAATCTTGCCATATCAACCATTGGCTCATACGCCTTGTTTAAGTAGAAAACACTGAAGTATATTAGAAATTAAACACTGCCCAATTAATAGGTACTAGTGAAAAATTATCTTGACTTGTTTTCCATTTTAGGCCTAAATTTTGTTAGTATCTGTAATGGTCATTTGTCATGTTTATGGATAACATCTTCTGAAAATCCTATGTAATTGTCACAGTCATTAGAAATAAAGCTCTATTTACCATTGACTCAATCATTTTGTCTTGTTAGGGGGACAAAGTCATTACTTCTTTAATGTAATACACAATGTTCATAAATGTGCTTGCTTTTCATTATTCTTCATTCTTTAATATATGGTAATATCAATAGGACTTTCATGTGCAAGGAATAGATAATCCCTCCAAGTTATCTTGATAAAAGGGGTTTGATACAAATTCCACGTGGATTAGAACTGCTTCTATGATTCTGTTCATCTATCCATTCTTCACTCACTAGTATGTATATATTTTTTCTCCCCCATTTCTTCATTTTCCAGTGCCAAACTTAATTAAAATTAACCACTTCCTGTCCATTTGAAGCCCATTTTGGACAAATTTAGGTAGGTATGTGGTTCAAATTCTGAGCACAAAACACTGAATTATCATATCAATTCCAGGTACTCTAGAGTAGGCTGACACTCCTCAGCTTAAGCAGTCCTCCTGCCTCCGCTTCTAGAGTAGCTAGAATCACAGGTATATGCCACCATGCCTGGCTTGAACTGTCCTTAAACTGGCTATCAATGAAAATATGATCTACTAGGAAATAAACTCTTCTAGTTCAGGTTTTCCATTTTTTAGCATTATGAGAATTATCAGGATGGAAAAAGGTTGGTTAGTGGGTACCAAATTACAGGAGAAGTAAGTTCTGGTGTTCCTTTCCACAGTGTTATGAATATAGATAACAATTATCTTCATTTCAGAAAAATAAAGAATTTTGAATACTTTTACCTGAAAGAAATGATAAATATTTGAGGAAATAGATGTTTACCTGTTAAGAATATTACATTGTGTGTGTGTGTGTGTGTATAAACATATTGTACCTCAGAAATACATATGTTCTTTGTGTATCAATTTGAAAAAATAAGATCATTAAACCTGAATTTCCTTCAGTATACTTGAAAGAACTTTAATATGAACTGGTATTTCCCTTGCTATTATTTTAACCTTCTATTAATTGTACTTTTGTTACATCAGCAGGTTTTATATAAAAGTAGCATTATTCAAATAAGTTTGGAAATGCTACCTATGACAGTTAATAATAACTGTCAACTTGATAGGCTTAAGAAATGCCTAAAAGATTAGTAAAGCACATTTCTGGGTATGTCTGAGTAGATCATGGAGGTATGGTTTTGGTTACTAATGTTTATACAGTCCCTAGCCCATTCCTCTCTGGCACTGTTCCCCTGCTCTGCTTCCCAGCCACCATGAACTAAGCAACTTTGCTCCATCACATTCTTCCACCATAATGTTTCTCCCTTGGAGCTGATTGATCATGGACTGAATCCCTTTAGAATATGAGCCAAATTAAGCCTTTCTTCAAGCTGGGAGCGTTGGGTATTGTGTCCAGCAATGAGAAAGTCTCTAATACAGAAAATTGTTACTGAGAAGGTCATTGCTCTGACTGTACCTGACCATGGAATTGAGAACCATTTTAAGCTGTCTTGTAGGAGTTTGGAAAGATCTGGAAATACAGGGTAGAGAAAACTTAAAATCCTTAAGCAGAGCCTGATGGTTGATTCTTGTCAAGAGATCAGAAGACCAGATGCTAATAGGAATATAGACAATAAAGATCAGACTCAGCAGGTTTCAGTTGGGAATAAGGACTTACTGGCAGTTGGACTACAGAACATGTGTCTTGCACTCTGGCAGAAAATTTGTCTATATTTTGCCCATGCCCTGAGATTTTGCAGGAGACTGAGATAACAGCAATATACTGATTCATCTGGTGGGGAAAGTATCAAGACAGCCAAACATTCAGTCTGTGACATGGGTACTCTTGGCTATTTTTAGCCAGATTTCTAGTGAGAATCAGAGACAAAAAAAATAAGAGCAGAAAAAATTAAAAAGCTTAAATTTTAACCCACAAGAAACCACTTGTGAAGTTATAGTAAAAGAAGTGTTGCTGAAGAAATTAGCACCATTTGAGAGTATCTCAGAAATTAGCAAACCCCACACATGATAGGTTCAAGGGAACAAAAGCATAAAACTTTAATCTGAAAGGAGCTACTGGTATTCTGGCTTGAGAAGAGCCTCCTAGGGAATTGGTTCGTGTGTTTCACTTCATTTGGTGTAACCAGGTATGCAGGGGCCACTACAGCCAAGATCCAAGGGACCCTGGCTGCTGCTGCCACCGACAGCAGACCTTGGTATCATCCATTGTGGGTCAGATTTCAAATGGCCTGAGAACAGGCAAGGAGCCCTTGAGACAGCAGTGCATGAAGGTGTGGGAATGAAACGGAAGGTGTAGTAGAAACCCCCAAGAATTTGGCAAAGACAGTAATGTGGAACATCTGCCTATGAAAACCACAGGCTATAAGTGGAACATGACCAAGAGAGATGCTGGGCAATATGTACTGCACCCAGCAAGGCCTTAGAGGTAGGACCACCTAAAGCCTAATAAACACATCTCAGCACTGTGTATCCCATATGACAGATATGGAGGTACGGGACTTAATATGTGCCATGATGGCTTCCTGTCTTGATTTAGTCTGATTCTTTTCTATTCCCGCATTCCTCCCTTTTGTAATGGAATTGTTTACCCTGTGCCATTGTACCTTGTGATTATATTATTCATGTCTGATTATTACATGGATTCACAGCTAAGAAACTGCCTTGAATTTTTCAGAAGAGACTCACTTGAAAAATGCTGAAACTGTTGAGACTTGGGGAAAGGATTATTGTGTTTCCATTTGTAGGCAGGATAGTTGTATTATGTTTGGTTAAATTATGAAGTCACTATAGTTTTGTTTGGACATTATAGTTTAATGAGATTTGTTTGGGTGTGAAGTTGACAAGGAGTACATTGTGACCATTAATCCTGATATATCTCACCTTCATTCCAGTAAGAAAAGCCTAACAAATTAGTAAATCAGCTTCTCCATATGTCCAGGTGGCTCTTGGAGGCATGACCTTGGGTATATTTCATCCCTCTCCTATTTCTCTCTGGCACTGTTCCTCACTTTGCTTCTAGTTGCCACTAACTGATCAGCTTTGTTCCACCATGTCCTTCCCTCATGATGTATCTCGCTTGAAGCCAGTCAGTCAAAGAGTGAAAACTTGAGCCAATTAAATCTTTCTGACTCTTAAGTTAATGGGAATCTGTTTTTGTGTCCAGCAATGGGAAAGATGACTAACAATGTTTTATGCACTATTGGATTTGCTAATATCTTTTTGGGGATTTTTGTGTGTAGGCTCATGACAGACCCTAGTCTGTATTTTTTTTATAACATCTTTGGCTTTAATACTAGGATATTTCTGGCCTTATGAAATGAGTTAGAAAGTATCCCTTCTTCTGTCTTCTGGAAGATGTAGAGAATTGGCAGAATTTTTTTCCTAAATGTTTGGTAGAATTCAGCAATGAACCCACCTAGACTTAGTATATTCTCTTTCTGTAATATTATTAATTTTTTATTCAAATTGTACAGATTGTGTCTCATAAGTAGTTGCTTTAGTTCATCTAATGTAGAATTGTTCATTATTTCTTCATTATCCTTTTAATGTCCATGGAACCTTCTGATGTTCTCTCAGTGATGCCCCCTCTTTGATTTCTGATATTAGTATTCTGTGTTGTCTTTTTTCTTACTTAACTGGCTAAAAGCATATTCATTTTATTAATCTTTGCAAAGGATAAGCCAAGGGCCATGAAAGCATGAGTTTGATTATTATACATAGAACCTGGCCCTTCCTCTCATGGCAGTGTTCCCCTGTTCTGCTTCCTTGCCACCAGGAACTAAGCAACTTAGTTCCACTACACCCTTGCACCATGATGTTTTTTCTTTTGAGCCAGCAGACCATGGACTAAGTTGCTGTAGACTGTTAGCCAAATTAAACCTCTCTCTTTTTAAATTGTGGGTACTGATACCGTGTCCTGCAATGGGAAAGTCATTAATAAGCTACATCAGTGTTAGGCTTTCTAAAAGCTATATGAATGAGTTTGCAGACCACTTAATATACTTATATGAATTGTCAATCTCCAAGAGAAAATTTGTGACTTACCGCTCAGAATCCTCCCATCTATTTTGTTTCTTGATGTATTGATAAGAATTTCATGGGAAAAACCTTAAAATGCTGATTTAATGTAATTTAAAGGAAAATGTTCATTATGATGTATCTCTATAATTGAGGAATTGAGATAACAAAAATACAATAACCAAAATTATTAATCATCCTCCCTTCCTCTACCTACCGTGCTAGTGGCCAGGAAATAATAAGGAAAATACAAACATAAATGTGTAGATAATTTTTCTAAGCCTTTAGCACACAATACAGCTTTTTGAGTTTGTTGAATAAGCTTTGTTGAATAGGAATTTTTTTAAAACTTCAAATCTATTATTAACAAATGACAAAAACCAAGGAAAAAATCCAATAATTCTTTTAATAAGGATTTTTAAAATATTACCTCTTATTTTGCCACAGCTTGGAGAATTTTTCCAGCACTGTTAGGGAAAGTTTATATAAAGCTTTCAAGTTTAAGAGTTTCTCTTTAGATATCTTTCAGTTTTCTTGTTTGTCTAGCTGATGGCTTACCAAAAGCACCTGTTTATACAGATAAAGGTATATCATAGTTGATTGTTTTTTATAGCCTACCTAGAAAGACCCATCTGAAGAAAACTGGTGAATCATTTGCTTCTAATGAGTTTAGTGAACTCCCTTTTCTGGAGTAAAAAGTGATAAAAATACCTGACTCAAAGCCCTGTTAACGGGGCAGGTCAGTAAGTTCTACTCAAAGGACTAGAATTCTATTCATTCTCCCTGACATTGGGGATGAAACTCCATATGGATTGGGGAAAGTAAAAATGGGGAGGAAAGTACAGTTTTCAAAAGTTTAGGGTATCACTGGAGCATGTTTTGTAAATCAAATAACAGCCAGTCAGTACATAAATAGATCCAGTGGGGCTGTGAAATGGTATGAAGGATACAAGTTCAGCAAAATGCAAGCTGGGAGTTGTTTGAAAGCTTTGGCTTCCTAGAATAATGTTTTTAATTCCCTTTATAATCGAATTAAGTCCATTTGCAGTCCTTTCTAATCAGGATCTAAAAAGGTATGTGCAAAGGTTTCTTGTAAAAGACTAGAATTTAAACTAAAAAGTAGTATTCCTACTCATAGATTTTTGGGACCCTGGACTTAATATTTAGTTTCAGTAATAAGGTATTAAAGCTCATATATTCAATGAACATGGTGCTTGAACCATGTTCAAACACTGGCTGAATTTGTCAATGATCAGATGGTGGTACATATTAAAAATTCTCTTGGGATTAAATTAATCTGACAGTGTTAATACATAGGTCATTTATTATCAAAGGAGAAATGTTACTCAAAGTAAACATTGGTAATACTGTATTAAAATATTTTTATATACAGATATAGTATAGTTTCAAAATTAAATATACAAAATCCATTAATTAAAAAGCTAACATATATTATTCTCTTAAAAATATGCCTCCCAAACTGAAAACTAAACTCCCAAACTGAGACTTCCATTATAAATGACAAAAGTAACTTAGTAATAAGGCTTAGCATTCCTAGACTAAGTGAATTTCTACCTTCTGAAATGATCCATTATTTTCATTTAAAAATATCTGTTATACCATTTATTAAAGACACTGTGCTATACATTCATATTTAAATACATTTCTTAATGTCTCTCCGAAGTATTATTGGCTTCTTTATGTTGCTGCTTCTTTAAAGTATATACTTCTCTTGTTCTCATGAGCATTTTTCCATCATTGTTAATCCTAAAATGTCTCCAGTGCAGATGATGACAATCTTTATGCTCAATGCAGTACATTGATGCATGGTGGACCATAAAATTCTTCTGATAATAACACAATGCTAATTTAATCCTTATTACCTTTATATACTTCATAGATTTGATGTCTTCTGAAATATTTAAACAGGTTTTACAAGGTTTATTGCACATGATACTTTATGTGGATTGTCTTACAAAATCAGTAAGACAATACTGATTGATATATTTCCACATACCTAGGAAATAGTTTGTTGACTTCAGTGTTCAGTTTCTATTGTTCATGTCAGTCTTCTAGTACTATAATGTCCATTTCTCAGTTGTTCTCAATATTTTTACCAGGTTGCCTTCAGTAACTTCTAGGAGGCTTTCTACCCCACCCCCCAATTGCATAATGCGATAGACTGTTGGAGGATGCAACCACAGTTCATGTATTCCACTCATATTTTCCAGTGTCCTTTAATGCCCTCTCAAGATTTTATTCCAACAAGTTTTAATCTTTTGTATTAGTGCTTTCAGGAAACACCAGTCATTCTTTTTTGTTTCCTTTGAAATAGTTTCTTCCTAGAGAAATAGATTAAAAAGTTATAATTTTACACTTTTATAATAATATGTTTAAAAATATTCTATCTTTATTTTTGGGCATATTAGGTTACACTGCAAATTTGGTGTAATAAAGGAGAATCTTTCTTACATGACTTTTTAAAAACATAACTTCTAATTATATTTGTAATAACTGACATGTATAAAGTTCAAGTAATGCATGTTCTAAGACTTAGGGGGGGCATTTTTATACTGCAACAATTGCCATAAAATACTGTTTAAACTTTCACAAAAGAGACATCTGTAAGCTGAGTATGGTAGCACATGCTTTGAGGCTAGCATGAACAAATAGTGGGACACCCCCCCCCATACCAAAAATAAAGATATTTGAGATATCTATAGATTACTCAATCGAATTTTTAACATGTAAAAATACATTTTAGTGGAAGGAATAATTAACATTGAAAATGCTCGGATTATTTTGGCAAAGATAATAAGGATATACCTCATTGAACTTGTACACTAAACTCCACCCACAAAATCTAACCTTACCAGAGTATGGCAAATGTTTGCTTATTAGGTGGTTCTTACCATCTGATGAGAATTTTCAAAGGGGCTACCTGCACAATGTATAGACAGTGAAAAAAATAGATATAATACATGAATCAGACATGTAAGGGATCTACTCTGCATAAAATATTATGTTCTTCTGAACCCTCAGGCAAAATGTAATAATTTTTAGGTACCAGGCATTTGGGGACATTTTCTACATCAAGTATTGTGCTCAGTACTTTACATACACTGCTTCATTTTATCTGCTTAATAATCCTATGAACTTGATTTCACTTCATTTTAAAAATGAGGAAACTGCACTTCAAAAAGTATAAATAAGCACCCATGTGACATGTCAAATAAATATAATGTCTAAACTTTGAGTTCATCTGTCCGATTTTTAATTTAGTCATAAATTCATATCTCTCTTAGCTGTATATTTAGCAACATGAAAATATTTATTTTAAATAATATCAAAGATTAGATTTCAAACAGATGTGAAGGAAATTTTTCATTTTCTTTGCAGTGAGTGTTTGAGAAATTTTTAAAAAGTACAAACTGACATTTTCTTGACTTAGTAGATGTGCTTGACTAGGAGAAAAACAATTGACCTTCATATCTGTCGTTTCCACATCCTCAGATTCAACTAACAACAAATTGAAACTATTTGGAAAAAATACCCTTGCACTGTCAATGTATAAACATTTTCTTGTCATTACTCCATAAAAATACATTAAAACAAACACATAGCATTTACAAACTATTAGGTATTAAAAGTAAACTAGAGATGATTTGAAGCATTTAGGAGGAGGTGTGTAGATTATATGCTACATCATTCTATAGAAGGAACTTGAGCATCCACAGTTCTTGGTTTGTGAGGTGAGATTCCCGAAGTAATCTCCCATGAATACTGAAGTATAACTATATAAATGTAAAAAAAAAAAAAAGTCTTGATTTTACCTCTGCAGTCCTGGGGACATAGAGGCTATCTCTCCTTTCTAAACTTTCTGAATTCTCTTAGTCAAAACCTTTTGAGGGATTTATATTCCTCCTAGGTTAGAGATCCATTTCATTCTTTACAGAATATATACTACTGGTGGAATTCTTAAGGTTTCCTGACTGTCAGGGTGCACAAACTCACCCTTCTTCTCTAAGAATAAGGAATTTTCATGTTCCCTTTTATCTACTAGTCAAACAAGAACAACAACAACAACAACATAATAATAATAGAAATGTACAAGAAGAACCCAATCATGCTCATGAATCTACCCATTTTTCAATGTTCCACTCTATTTAATGCACCTTTTAAAATTTTAATCAGATTCAATTAACCCTGTCTTTTAATCTGTATAATTTTTATAATAGTTCCTAATAACCATATATCAATATATAATAGAATATTTATATACTATTATATATTATACACACTTTTTACAGTATGCTATTTCAGGTACTCATTTGGGTTTTTATTTCTTAAAAACGAACTATGGCTATTTTTTTCCCAAAAACTAACATAAAGGCACAAAATTGTAAATAACCTTGACAAATCCAGGACACCAAGTGGAGACTGGCCTCCATCAAGTAGATAAAGCAGCAATAAATAAAGCTGTCCAAGTTATAAAATCTTTATTTTAATCAGCCAGTAGGGTTCACAGATAATTTCCATTTTCCATTTTGTCAGAAACTAGTAGTACTCAAACAAAGCAAAATACAATTATTTTTTATAGCATAAAATATTTTTTTAAATGCTAAGAACCTTAAGAAACCTTTTGACTGTGTTAGCTGGTAAAATCCATGAAGAGGGAAATAATAGCAAGAGTAATAAACATTATTTAAGCATCAAAAACCTTTTAGTACTAAGCACATAACACAAATTATGCCATTAAATCCTTTTAGCATCATCCTACAATGCAGATTTTGTTTTTTTCCAACTTACAGATGAAAAAATTGCCTAACATCAAGACATGATATGTTCCAAATTTTAATTTGTTGTTTTTAATTCATAACTTTCAGTAGAAAAGTAAGGAAAAATTTACACTATTAGTATCAAAATTATTAAAGCAAAACAAGGAAAACTGATAGAATATACTTGGGTTTAATATATAAAAATAATTAAACTGATGTATATACCTGGGTTTAACATATAAAGATAGTTATTAAATATATTTAGTTTCCTGTTTTATTGACCAGGATGTATGTAATGTGGACATAATATGGATTAAAGTAAGTTATACAGATAAAAAATCTCACTATTTCCCCCCCAATTTATCAGCCTAGCTTCTTTGTAAATATGGCAATAATGTGTTTATTTATATTTTACTCCTTTTCACAGACTATTAGTTTCCCTTAGGCAAGGGATGAATACATACTTTGCAAATGAAGACTGTCTTCTACAGTAAATGTGTCTCAACCTGAAGTGATCACAAAACTTGAAATTCTATAGTAATAGATACGAACATCAGAGAATGATAGTATCCTAGCACAGCACTAGTTTATATTTTTGTTCAAAGTAAACTCCCAGCTTACCTTGGTGCAGTTTATCAGTTTTAATGTACCCTGTGAAACTTTTAATAAGTGTAGCTCAAAATCCGTAGTGATATTCATTTTAACAAATTGCTCCAACTTGTAAGCAGCACGATTTAGAAAAGCAGCCTCCTATTATAGGAAAAAGAAGAGCTGTGGTTCAAAGAGAATATTAAGAAAAGCAGTTTTCTTAAGGGTCCTATAGCCAGGACTGTATTGGTGAGTAATGCTGGGCCTCCTTTCCAGCTCTCTATTCCTGTTAATCACGTGACTGACAAGTAACAGGATTGAAACTGTTTAGCTCCTAGGCAACAGCTTGAAGTGCCTAAAACTTGGTTTAATGATTATCTGACTTTTAATGTCTCTGTTTTCTATTACATATACGTGACCTTATCTTTAATGGGTGAACACATTATAAGTCTATTCAATATAAAACAGGATAACCAAGGGAGAAGGCTTCTGGAAGCAGTGATGACGAAAGGAATGTGAGTTTTTGCTTACATATATTACTTTTGATCCCTTAGAGAAAATAAAGGGCCAGATCACCTGAAATGTAAGCTTTTATATATTTAAGCAATTAAAAATAAAGAATTTATAATTATAGTGAGTTTCCATGAGATTAATTTGGCTACTGTAAGTTTGAAAAACACTAATAGCAAAAAATTTCTCTAGAAATAAAACAAATTTTGGAGATTTTGTAAACTGTAATATTGTGCAAACTAGAAATGATGTTGGGTTAAAGTTTTAAAAATGTTGAAAATATTTTTCAAGATGTTTAACTATACCCATGATTTATATATTTGTTAGCAATCACTAATAAGTCTTTTCCTGAATAACAAATTTTAGAAAAAGACATGTTTTTGAATGGAGCAGTCCTGGTATTTTCAAGATGATGTTATAACAGAAAAAGTTATCTATTAAGGATAAAACTATTTATAAAACAAAAGCATAAAAGAAGACAATAATATAATTTAATAGATCAATAGGAATTGTGTGGTTTAGAACAAAGGAATGTTATTGACATAATTAATATAATTGTCTACCAGAGGCACAAAAAATAGAACTTTCTATGAGGTTTGAAAGACAAACTCCATGTAATTATCATTATTACCTTTTTATCCGCACATGAATGTCTCCTAAAAAAGTTAGGTTCTTTTTTCAGGCAATCATTATCAATGTCTAGCATTTTCTCCTGTAATAAATAATATAAAGTAATATTAAAACAGAGGCCTTTCCTGACATGCAATGATTATAAAAATAATCATAATATCTGGTATGTATGTGTGAATTTTAAAAGTGAAATCATTTTTGCCTGAATCAGCTTACTAGGCATGAAGAATAGTTTTCTGTAGTTGAAAAAAGTATGAGGCACAATAGAAATATACACTGAATGTTTTCTCCCTCAAAATGCCTCTCTCTCCCCACCTCAAACACACTTATCCCATCATTCTTGCCATTTTTTGAAGCAGTTTCTGCTAAGTGCCATCCACAGAAAGGTAGACTCATAAAAAAAAAAATTATGGTGCATCCTCATTCACTTTATTCACCAGATCTGGCACTGTTAGGTTTCTGTCTCTTCTCCCAAGTCAAAATGACCAAGAAAGATAAATATTTTGAATTGATTCAGGACATCCCAGCAGCCAAGACAGATAGTACAACTAAAGAAACAGAACTTCAGAAAGTGATGGGATAAGTGTGTTTGAAGTAAGAGGGAGTACTCTGAAGGAGATTAAGGGCAATGTGTCTTTTATTGTAATACATTTTTTAAAAGAGTTAACCATCTACTCTTTTTCATTCACACACTATATATATATATATATATATATATGTATATATGTATATATGTATATATGTGTATATTCCCTTCATAGGTTTAGAACACCTGATTTAATAAGGTAATTGCAGAATTCACTGAGATTCTGGCTTCTACAAGGGAACAAGAGTACCTGTTTCACAGGATATTCTATATAGACAAAATATTATACATTTTGAAATCAAGAAGCTGAGATAGAATTAAGATGTTAAGATTAAGATGCTATATTAAGATGTTACCCACTCATTGTCTGACCACTGTTCAAACGGAACAAAATTACATTAGGATGAAGGAAAAAAGCATCTTGACAATGAGAGAGAAGGTTGAAATTCATTTTTCAGCATTTATAAAAATCCAATTTGTCTGATATGGTTTGATTGAGTATGTGTGCATTATAAATGTAGAATGGGAAGCCAGACTGGTACCAGGATATACTTTTTTTTTCATTTGTAAGCAATCTAATATAAAAAGGATTATCTGAATCAAGAATTTAGCTGACATATTAAGAAGAACTTTTCTAAGAATTAAGATTCTCTTATGCACAGTGTTGGGCCAGCTATATCCAGCAACCTAGCAATTCCATGTTATCATAGCTTCTATAGGGACTTCAAGCAATCTTATCTAACAGAATATCATCAATGGATAAGAATTAAAGAGCAACAGTAGTGCTTCGTCATGGCCTTCTCATCTTCACTTACTTCTCAGGAAATTATGCATCACTCTTCTCAACTGTGAAAAGCATAAGTGGGTATTATAGTTTAAATCTAAAATGCCCCCCAAAAGTCTCATGTTCAAAGGTAAGGCTTTTTGAAGGTGATTGGATTATGGGAACACTATATTCATCAACGGATTAACTGTTGATTAGTTCATAGCTGAATGTGGTGTTAGGAGTTGGTTGGAGATGTGACCTAGAAGGGCATGTTTTTGTTCTTGGCTTTTTTCTCTGTCTGCTTCTTGGTTCCCATGGGTTGAACACTGTGCTTTGCCAAGACCTTCCTCCATGCTATTTGTGACATGAAGCCAGCCAACTATAAACTGAATCCTCTGAAATTGTGAGCCAAATAAACCTCTTCTTTGAATTATAGGTGTCAGGCATTTGTCCCGGTGTTGGGAAAGTGACTAAGACAATGACCTCTGGACTTATCCTGTCTTTAAAACATACATAGTATCTATTTTACCCGTGGAAGTGATGACTAAATACATATCCATTTTATTTAACCATTCAACATTTAACGAGGTTTTCTGCAAAACCTGATATTGAAACAGAAGAATACAGTCCTGGTTTCCTGTGCAATTTGGTAGAAAAGGTGGTCACTGTATCCCTTTGCACGTTTATATTCTTTATATCCTTGAAAAAGTATGCTTTTGAAAATAGGAGATTTGTTACTGCCAACCATCTAACGTATACTTGCAAACATGCCAAGTGCAAAAGTTTATTTAACTATCTTCAAGTTGCCATTTTACACATTCATGAAAAGATAGTGCAGAATAAATATTTGCCTATTAAGTCATTTTCCTACTGACTTCCATTTAATCCCAAAAAAGACCATAAAACATATAGATAAACAATAAAATATATAGATTTTTCTTTGGTAAAATATGAGTATTTAATTTTTGTCCTGCCATCTTCAAAAAGATGGTAGACATATGTATAGCTAATCTGTATAATTTTTTCAACACACTAAGCATATTATGAGAAAATGTGAAAAAGAATTAGTGCAAATTTTTGAAATATTTTATCAAATTGCACAAACATGAATATTTGAAAAACTTTGTTAGACCAGTGTTCCAGGTAATTAATAAAACTCTTTTTTGGCAGATCTACAGAAACATAATGATACCCAGTTGATCTTCTTGCCAGATATTTGATCCATAATATAAATGTATTATTATACTCTTCAAAGTTTGACATATCAAAGTCAGTTATGTTTAATTACTTGATTTTAGTACAGTTTATTAATACATTTAACACAGGTCTCTATGGGTACCAGCAACTGAAATTTTTTCATTTAAGCCCTATCAGAAGAGAAACTCAGAAAAAAAAGAAAAGAAACTCAGAGTAAGAATGATAAAATCACAGAGTAGTAAGAACCTTAGGTACCCATCTCTTGATTTAGCAAAAAGTAGAATTACTCTATGAATGTCACAATAATAGTTTCTTACAGGAATCTTGATATAAGTGACGATTACTTCAAATTAATTTTGAAAATGAAAAATCATAAAAGAAAAGCCAACATCACATTGACTCTGAGATTCAGTATTTTCCAATATAAAACATTATGCTGTTATTCCTTAAATATGTAATTTTTTTCAATTTATAGAATTACATCTTTCACATCTGCAGTTTTTATCTTTGAAATTTTTATTATTAAACATTTAATCCTTTTCTTTAAAAATATTAATCTTATATAAAATTTATCTTCTATTTTTTATAGTCATCTTTGTTTAGTTTATTAGTACATTGTGTAGTACATACTGTTTATTCCTTGTGCAAAGTTGATACATGTACATAACACATATTAATTTCCTTTTCCATCCCCTTCACTTCCCTCCTCCACACATCCCTTGATTCCCTTCGTGTTTGTGTTTTTATCCAGTACATAATCTTTACATACCTTGTATAGAGTTGGTACATGTACACGGCCCAATTCCTTTCATTTCATCCCTAGTCTTTCATTTTCTCCTTTCTCACTCATCTCTTGATGCTCTTTGCTTATTTTTTTAAAGTTTTTCATTTTGTGTACTTTTCCCTACCATGTCTTACATAAGCCTATTTTAATGGGTCACTCATTTCTGTTTTATGTAGCTTTCTTCATTTTCTCCCTTCAAGTCTAAAGAATTCACCTTTTATTGCTTGTAGCTCTTCTAACTTTGTTTTCAGTGTTAAGATGAAATGTTTAATCTTTAATACTGTTTTCATAGATAATCTTTTGATCTAAATTTTTCAGTTTTATTTTGCCTACTCATGAATTTATATGTTCATTCATTTGCTTACTTTGTTAGTATCAATACATAGTATGTTCTTTGTGATTTTCTGAAATGATATTCAGGTAGATTATATTATTGTTCAGTTAATATTTAAGATCTCTATCCCCTTAATGTGTGGATGCATTCATTTCCCAAGGCTGCTATAACAAATCACCAAAATCTTCACGATTCAAAACAAAGGGTCTGGGCCTGGGATTTAGCTCAGTGGTTTCGTTGCCTGCTGCCCAAGCACAAGGACCCAAGTTCGATCCCTTGTACCAAAAAGCAAAACAAAGCAAAACAAAACAAAACAAAACAAAAAATAAAGGGTCCATTACTTGTCTCTTCTATCCCGCGGTGGCTATCAGCACTCATTGGTGTTCCTTGTCTTAAGGACACACAGCCAGTCTCTGTCTCCATATTCACATTGTTGTCTTTGTTTGTCTCAAATCTCCCTATGACTTTCTCTTTTGAGGATATGTGTGCTAGCATTTAGGGCCCACCTAAACAGTTGTGGATAACTTCCCCATGTCAAAATACTTGACTTCATCATATCTGCAAAGACTCCTTTACTTGTAAATTCCAGGAATTAGAATTTGATATCCTGAGTGGTCCTTAGCCTACTACAGAAAATATATTTCTCTGTCACTAGATGTTGGGTTTGACCAAAGACTTTCAGCAGTGGATATCAGCAGGTTAGACCAGAGCAGAGGCTTGAAATGTACTTCCACAACTGCATTCAGCCTCTTATATTCTTGAGTTTTAATACGAGAATTAAACATCTGGTAGCTGCTTGTGTTCATTATCTATTACTGCATAAAAATTGCCATAAAAGATACTATAAAATGATAAATATTTATGGTTGTAAATTTTCTGTGGATCAGGAATTTGGGAGCAGCTTGAATGGGAGCTTTCAGGTCTGCAACTTCCATGAGTATGCGGTTAAGATGTTGGCCTTGTCTGTAGTCACCCAACTTGGAATAGAGTATCCACTCCTACTGTGCCTTCATCATACACCTATTGGTAGGAGGCCTCACTACATGAATCTTTTCACAGACTTTTTCTGAGCATCCTTATAAAATGGTGTCTGACTTTCCCTGAAGTGTGCAATGCATGAGAAAGAGAAGAGATTTTATGCCATTTATGACCTAGTCTTGGATATCACACACTGCCTTTTCTTCCTTATTGTACTGTTTTGAAGTGAATCATTAATTCCAGTCCACATTCAAAGGGGAAGAAATTAAACTCCCATCTCTCTGAGAAACAGTGTCAAAATTTGTGGGCATATGTTAAAACTATCACACTCCATCTCATGACTCAGAATGAGATATGAAGGCTCTCAACCAAAGCCAAGTATCATGCTTGTGAATCTGAGAACATACATGCAAAAATCCTCAGAAAATATAGCAAAT